CTCATGGATGCTGGAGGGGCTTTTACATACGATTTAACTAAGGAGAAGATCAAAACCAAGACTTGCCCAACTGTCAGAAGCCTGGCACAATGGCTCAGTGGCTAAATCTTGCCTTGCACATGCCAGGATCTCATACATGCGCCACTTTGTGTCCTGGCTACTGCACTTCCCTTCTAGCTCCCTGCTTGGCAAAGCAGTGGAGAATGGCCCAAAAGCCTTGGGACCCTGCACCCATGAAGGAGACCTGAAAGAGGCTCCTGACTCCTGACTCCAGATCAACTCAGCTCTGACCTTTGCAGCCATCTGGGGAATGAATCAGCAGATGGAAGATCTTTCTGTCTGTCTCTTTCTCCCTGTAAATCTGCCTTTCCAGCATAAATAAATAAATCTAAAAAAGAAACCACGTTGCTTGTATTCTGTGTACAGTGTCTTTTAAGAAGGGTCTTGCGTTGGAGCTATGTAACCACAGCACCCCCACTGCGTAGAGCCTAGGGGCTCCTAGGGTGACACAGCATCAATGCCCTCCTGTCCGCATAGGACCCCCAAGGGCACAGCAACAAATTTTCACCTGCAGGATGGTTGCATGGGTCTGACTGTCTGACCCAGAATTTATGGACAAATTTCACACACAGCCCTTTAGCTGTCGTCAAGTTGCAGCCAGCAGAGCTTTTATTATGGTGAGTGAGATGAATGGGCCAGTTGGTGATGAAGCTGAAGGCCCTGGGTTAGCAGCCCCAAACCAAGGCCACTGGCGTCTGGCAAGACCTCAGAGCTGCTTTCCTGCGATGGTCTTCAGCCGTCAGCATCACTCGGGTGATGGACAGTCACAGCTTTGGGAACAGAGACCTATTCTCACCTGGGCTTTTACCAGGAGCTGATCATTTGCATATCTTCAATATATTGACAGGCATCACCTTCTCATGGATAATTTTCATGAAACAGGTGCGTGATGAGAACAGATGTGACACTGGGAGCACTCTGCCGGAGGCACCACGCACACTGCCTTCATTGATATTCATGGCCACAGTGCACGCTGTCCCTGTCTCCATTCTTCACAGGACAGAACGGAACCTTTACAGATTTATGGAGCTGGTAAATTGCAGGGTCAGAATCTGAAGTGAAGGTGAGTGTTTGTCACAACTCAGGGACAGAGGGAGACAGATGAGGAATGGGTCACAGGCGTCTGTCTCCACCATTCAGCTCTCCAGGGCTTCACCCCAACCCCTCCCGTGGACCTCACCATCCTGGGGCCCCAGCACACCGGACCCTTGCTCCCCATTTGACCAGTGGGGAAATCCAAGTCTGAAAGGGGCTACTTTGCTCATTTGATAAGACCTTGCTGAAAAGAGAAGCCAGTGTCCAATTCACTATCGTTGCTCGTGTCCACAGCTTTGGGATCTAGTGCCTAAATGGGCAGAGTAATGAACGCATGCTGTCCCTGGAACTGCAGCCCAGCTACCACCAGCACAGTCATTGCTCCATCGCCCTTGGGACTGTGGGGGCAGACTGGTCTCCCACATCCAGCAGGGTCCTGGCCCAGTGTGCTTATGCAGGATGGGTCAGTGACACGGGCCACCTGAGGTTCAGAGTGGCGACCTCCAACCTACTCTGTTCAGCCAAAGTGTTCCTTAATTTGTTCTCTAAACATCAACACTTATTTTTTGGAGATTTATTTATTTTTATTAGAAAGTCAGATTTACAGAGAGAAGGAGAGACATAAGGATTTTCTGTGTGCTGCTTCACTCCCCATGTTGCTGCAATGGCTGCAGCTGAGCTGATTTGAAGCCAGGATCCAGGAACCTCCTCCAGGTCTCCCACGCAGGTGCGGGGTCCCAAGGCTTTGTGCCGTCCTCGACTGCTTTCCCAGGCCACAAGAAGGGAGCTGGATGGGAAGTGGAGCTGCCGGGATTAGAACTGGCGCCCATATGGGATCCCGGCGCATTCAAAGCGAGGACTTCAGCTGCTAGGCCACCATGCCAGGCTCAACACTTATGTTTAAAAAGAACGTATTTAAGTGGAAGACACTGTGCACATTCCCTTGCTGGGGTCTGTGTGATGGATGTGGAAGACAGGAAGGTGTGAAGAGTATCCTTGTTTTGCAGGCAAGGCCACAAGGAACTTCCCGCTGTGTGGCAGGGCCTGCGGATGTCTCTACAACACCTGAATGCAGCTCCGCCTCCCTTTGCATGGACACCGGACAACTCCATTGAGATTTCTGTAATCTATTTAGGCATTGTCTGCCTCTGCGGAGTTACTGTTAAATATCAATGGGGGGCCCAGTGCGGTGGCACAAGTGGTTAAAGGTCCTCGCCTTGCACGCCCGGGATCCCATATGGGTGCCGGTTCTAATCCCAGCAGCCCCGCTTCCCTTCCAGCTCCCTGCTTGTGGCCTGGGAAAGCAGTCGAGGACGGCCCAAAGCTTTGGGAACCTGCACCCGCGTGGGAGACCCGGAAGAGGCTCCTGGCTTCGGATCGGCATAGCATCGATCATTGCGCTCACTTGGGGAGTGAATCATCGGAGGGAAGATCTTCCTCTCTGTCTCTCCTCTCTGTATATCCGCCTTTCCAATGAAAAAATAATGAAAATAAATCTTTAAAAAAAATGTATCAATGGGAGCTTAGAAGCTGCTGTTGCTGTTGCCGTTTTTAGCCAAAAAGCTGTTATTGCTGTTATGGCTGCATCCTGTGGCAATATGCTAATCAAGGGTGCTAACCCCCCTTTTGATCCTATGCTAATCAAGGGTGTTCTGTCTTCAGGTGTAGTGGAATCTATTCTTTCCCTCTTTCTTTGATCTTTTAGGCCCCTCCTGTGAAGTCCTTCCTTCCTTGACTGTCTCAAGACCAAGCTGTAGAGTAATTGTGGTAGGAATGTGTTACTGATTGATATGCACCATCTATTGAAAACTTTTTCCTAGCCAGGTGCCAGGTGCCAGGCACCAGGTGGATAACATCCTAGCCTTAGGTGAAACAAATGGTAGAGTTATCTTTAGAAACACCCACTTGACCAATGACGTAGGAAGTCTGAGCCAAAGTTTGACTGATTTTGTATAAATAAAGCAGACAGCTTTTGTGCATCATCCTTTATGATCAAGAGTTCCTAGTGGCCCGTCTCTTTCTTTCTTTGCGCCTCATCCACACACCCTTCGCGAGTTCCGAACTCAGCTGGAGCTGGACTCCAGCATTCCCTGAGCTATTTGATTTCTAAGGTGAGCTCTGCTCTTGTTCCCACGGCCCGTTCCAGTGTTTCGGAGTTGAAACGTGATGTCACAGAACGCAGCAGTAGCCCTTCCCTTTCCGTCGTCTCTGCGTGTGACCTCAGCGAGCTCAGTGACCTCGACCCCGGGGACGTTGATGGGAACGTCAGTGACCTATTCATGGCCCCCTGTCCCCTCGCTGGCCCAGCGCTCAGCCCCTTTTTAAGAGCAGATTCCTTCCTGCCCAGCATGAGTCACACACATGTTGAGTCAGAGAGGAAGAAAGGATTTTCAGAAAGAGTAACTGCCCAGTGAAGTCCCGGAGACACAGACTTGGAGCTCTGGGAAACCACATGGTGACCCTTGACAAGGATTGTGGACAACAGCACGGAGGGACCAAGTACCCCAGCCAGCCACCTTGACAGAAGCAAGCCCCAAGTGGGTGTGACCCCAAGACCAGGCTGGTGGCCAGCTGAGAGGAGTGGTGGTCACTGCCCGGCTTTAGGACATCTTGCCCAGAGGGCAGCAGGTAGCAAAGAGGAAGTGAGAGCCGGTGGGCTTGCAGTGGTGCTCCTTCCCAGGTGAACTTATAATCACCGGAAGGTTTGTTGCACTGGTGTTGGGTCCCCACCACAGCACTGGCTGCTGCTCAGGTGGGCCCTGTGTGCTCTGCTCACCCTTTAGTGCTCTGGTGCCCCAACACTCAACCCTGAACCCCCAGGCAACACCATAGGTGGCCACCTGCATCCCTGAGGATTAGTGACCAAGGGTCCAGTATGCACAGGCCCAGGTGCGAAGGCTCAGTGGCTAAATCCTTGCCTTGCAAGAGCCAGGATATTATATAGGCACTGGTTCATGTCCCAGCGGCTCCACTTCCCATCTTGCTTCCTGCTTGTGGCCCAAAGCCTTGTGACCCTGCACTGGCGTGGGAGACCTGGAGGAAGCTCCTGGCTCCTGGCTTCGGATCAGCTCAGCTCTGGCCATTGCTGCCACTTGGGGAATGAACCAATGGACGCAAGATCTTTCTCTTTGTGTCTCCTCTCTGTATAGCTGCCTTTCTAACAACAACAGCAACAATACAAAATCTTTTTTTCAAAGCCCAGAAAATGAAACAAAACAAACAGAAGAAGCAGAGGGCGAGTGCCCAGCCAAGCGGCCACGGACTCCAGGGCGCACTTGGGGGGGCTGGGCTCCCAGTTCAGCCTTCTACGGGCGGCTCAGGTGCTAGGGACCAGGGGCCCAGCCATCCGCATGAACGACTCGATGGCGCTCCCCGCGCCTGGCATCGGGCTCTGGAGCAGAAGCAAAAACGGGGCTTGTGCGTGGAGAGAGGGATCCTAACGGCGTCTCAGTGGGCAGAAACCTAAAGCAACACACCCCTCTTTTAACCAGGACCAAATGCACTGTCCTCCCGAATCCGGCCTTCTCCGCCAGGCCCCGCCCCACGAGCCCCGCCCCGCCCAGTAGGCCCCGCCCCCACGAGCCCCGCCCCGCCCCGCAGGTCCCGCCCCCGCCAATCTCTCCCTACGTGGCAGTCTCCGTCAGGCCCCGCCCCACCGACAGTCCCGCCCCTCAAGCCCCCGCCCCCGCCAATCTCCCCTTTCTTGGCTGTACCAGGCCCCGCCCCAGACAAGCTCTCCCTACGTGCCCGTTCCAGCCAGGCCCCGCCCACCAGGCACCGCCCCTTCAAGCCCCCCTCCACTATCCCCTTTCTTGGCTGAGCCAGGCTCCGCCCCCGACAAGCTCCCCGCACATGGCTGCCCCAGGCCCCGCCCTTGCCGTCATCTTTCCGCGCCGAGCCGGAAGTGTGGTCGCCGAGCGGTCCCCGGGTCGGGCAGCAGGTGTCCAGGCGAGGATGCTGCCCGGTGTCCGGGCGTGAGTGATGCCCGGGCTCCTGTCTGTGGCCCACAGAGTCACCTGGGCCGCCGTGCTGCGCCGCGGCTGCCGCTGCTGCGGCCTCGGGATGTTCTATGCCGTCCGCAGGGGCCGGCGGACGGGGGTGTTTGCGAGCTGGTGAGAGCCGGTGCCCGGGGCTGGCTGGGCCGCCGCTGGGGAGGGTCCACGAGCGGGCGTGGATACTGGGGGCCCGAGGGTCGGCCTGGCAGCTGGTCCCGGCCCCGGAGCGCGAGGGCTGCAGAGGCTCAGGGGCTCGGGGCTCAGGGGCTGCAGGGGCTTGGGGGCTCAGGGCTGCAGGGGCTCGGGGGCTGCAGGGGCTCAGGGCTGCAGGGGCTCAGGGCTGCAGGGGCTCGGGGGCTGCAGGGGCTCGGGGGCTGCAGGGGCTGCAGGGGCTGGAGCAGTGCGTGTTTTGCAGGGAGGAGTGCCGCGCCCAGGTGGACCGCTTTCCTGCCGCTAGGTTCAAGAAGTTCGCCACGGAGGATGCGGCATGGGCGTTTGTCAGGAGCGCCGCGAGCCCCGAGGGTCCTGCAGGTCAGCATCCGGGTAGGGGCCATCGTGCGGGACCCCTGGCTTCTTCAGGGCTGCTGCCAGCTAACGCGCCTGGGAATGCCGCAGTAGGCGGGCCCCTTGTTGGAGAGCTGGAAGAAGCTCCTGGGTCGGGTCTTCAGTCTGTTGGCAGCTAATCGGGGAGTGAGCTGCAGGATGTAAGAGCTCTCTCTTGGCCTCTAATTCTGCCTTTTGAACAGCAGGAGGAAAGTGCAGTTCCTAGGCGCAGTGGGCCGTGGTTCCAGCTGTGAAGGGCTGTGCTTGGCACCTGTCACCTGTGCACCTCTGTGCCGTACCGCAGTGCTGCGCTGTGTGCAGGAAGTAGAGTTCTTCAATGTTGAGGGTTTCCCGAAGGGGACACGGGCATGCGGAAGTCAGAGGGCAGCATGGCTGCTTGTTCCAGCAGCATTTTTGGTTTTACATTGATGAAGGCACAGGGAGAAATGTTGACCCCGTGTGCTGGCCCACCCTATGAGTTCCCTCGACATGGAGGGCTAGGCTGGGCTGAATCCAGGAGCTTGGAACTTGGCCAGGGCTCCCACCCTGAGGCCTGAGCCCTTCCCGGCTGGCCCGCAGGGTCTATGGGAGCAAAAGGCTGCTGGGAGAAGCTGGCCCGGACATCGCCTGAGGTGCACGCACAGGACATCTGCACCCCTGCCTGCTTGCTGTTCTTGGGGCTTTTTTTTGCATATAAAGCAAGAAGTAGTTTATTGAGAGAAAGCAGAAGTAGAGTAAAAGCTCCTGGCAACAGCAAGGGGGTTTCCACTTTGAGGAAGCGTCTCGCTCCTTGCAGGGAGCACCCAGTGAGCAGAGCTTCACTCTGTCACTGCCTGTTTCTCCCTGTAACTCTTGGCTTTCCAACAGATGAATAAGACTCTGTGTAAATACCCTTTGATTTCTAAATGTTTATTTGTATTGGCAATGCGGATTTACAGAGAGCAGGAGAGACAGACAGATCTTCCATCCTCCGGTTCACTCCCCAGATGGCCTCAAAGGCCAGAGCTGAGCTGATCTGGAGCCAGGAGCCTCTTCTGGGTCTCTCACATGGGCACAGGCCCCCAGAGCTTTGGACCAACCTCTTGGTTGCCAGGTGCATTAGGGAGCCAGGTGGGAAGTGGAGCAGCCAGACACGATTGGCACCCAGATGAAGTGTTGGTGCCACAAGTGAAGGTTTTGCCTGCTATGCCATCACACTGGCCCCGAGTGAAGTTGAGACTGTAGGATCTGACGTGCTGTTCTAACTCGTTCTCTGGCTCCACTGAGTGGAGCTTCTGGCTGCTCCCAGCCATGCTGAAGTCTTGTTGCAGAATCCCTTAGGACGGCACACGTCTACCCTGAGTTAAAAATTAGTAGTGCTGTCCCTGAAGAAACCAGTTGCCATGTGTTTCCGTTTCTGGAAACTGTACTGAAGCTGGGCTTGTGGGTACTACCTCAGCTTTTCTCCATGTCCTCAGATCAGAGCCCTTGAGGGCCAGCAGGGCCAGCTGCAGTCCCTGGGGTCAAGGCCCCCACTTCTGCTCACGTGAGGGAGACAGCGGGGACTGACCAAGTGCCTGGGGTCCCGCCTGTCACGTGGGAGAGTGTAATGGAGCTCCTGGCTCCCGGCGTCAGTGGGCACCGGGGGATGGCCAGCGGATGGATGAGGTTGGTTTCTCTGGCACCCTGCCAAATGAAAAATGATAAGGCTTTATGAAACCAGAGTAGGTCTAATTACAGTATCAGGACAGACGGGGCTGACCGAGGACATCACTGATCTTCACTGATCTTTTTTTTTTAAATATTTGTTTATTTTTATTGGAAAGGCGGATATACAGAGAGGAGAGACAGAGAGGAAGATCTTCCGTCCGATGATTCACTCCCCAAGTGAGCGCAACAGCCGATGCTATGCGGATCCGAAGCCAGGATCCAGGAACCTCCTCCAGGTCTCCCATGTGGGTGCAGGATCCAAGGCTTTGGGCCGTCCTCCGCTGCTTTCCCAGACCACAGGCAGGGAGCTGGATGGGAAGCCGGGTTGCCATGATTAGAACTGGTACCCGTGTGGGATCCAGGTGGATACAAGGTGAGGACTTTAGCCACTATGCTACCACGGTGGGCCCGATACCACTTCTCTAAATAGAAAAATTTCATTTCAGGGGCCAACACAATGGCTCAATTCTAATCCTCAGCCTGAAAGCGCCAGCATCCCATGTGGGCACTGGTTTGTGTCCTAGCTGCTCCCTGCTTGTGGCCTGGGAGAGTAGTAGAGGATGGCCCAAAGCCTTAGAGCTCTTCGTCTGTGTGGGAGACCTGGAGGACCCCCTGGTTCTTGGCTTTGAATCAGCTAAGCTCTGGCCACTGCAGCCAGCTGGGGTTGAACCATTTTGTTTTTACTCTGGGGTGATGCTGTGGTGTAGCGGATAAGCCATCATGTGCAGTGTCAGCCTCCCATGTGGGTGCTGGTCTTGAGTCCTAGCTGTTCCTTTCCGGGGAGAATAGTGGAGCCTGGCCAGAGTGCTCGGCCCCCACGCCCATGCCGAGACCCAGCCCGACCTCCTGGCTCCCACGTGGCCCGGCCCGACCATGGCAGCCACGTGCTGCCTCTGTTTCTCTTGGCTTCTCTCTCTTCCTTTCGCATAAAAAACTCTTTAAAATTTTTTTTCTTACAGTTTTTCCTAAGAAAAAATGCCCTTGATTTCCCCATGATTGCAAAGGAGTGGAGAAGCTGTGGTGTCTGTCAGCTCCATTAGGCCCTGATTCCATTTTCAGCAGAAGGCCCGGGACACGTAGACTGTAGGATTCTGTCCTGGCCTGTTGGGGTCTGATGCGGTACCGAGTCCTCTCCCTTCCTGGTGTGAGCGCAGCCTGCTGCAGTCTGATCCAGTTTGTTGAGTGACTTCCAGAGTTCTCGGTCCTTCAGCATCCCAGGTGACGCTCAGTGTTTCCAGCTCAGTCGGCGACTCTTGTCTTTCAGGGCAGAAAGACAACGCTGTGGAGGCATCGCTGGTGAGCCGCAGCAAGCGGCCCCGGGAGTCGTCGGGGGAGGATGAGGGTCTGGAAGGCGCGGAGCCGTGCGCGAAGCAGGCGAGGCAGCCCCCGGAGGCCCCGTTGGTCAGCCCGGACACGTTCTCTTACCTGGGTAAGCGCCAGCGTGGCTGCGTGGGAGAGCTCCGGTCTCTGCCTGAAGACCAGTGCAGGGCATCCGAGGGTTGGGTGTGCTGAGGAAGCAGCTCGGGTCTGCAAGTTCAACTGTCGTGTCTTTTGAAATGCTGGTAGTTTTTTTGGTAAGATCTATTTATTTATTTGAAAGATTTTCAGAGAGAAAGATCTTCTGTCTGCTGGTTCACTCCCCAAGTGGCCGCAGTGGCCAGAGCTGAGCCGAGTCAGAGCCAGGAGCTTCTTCCAGGTCTCTGTAGGTGCAGGGTCCCAAGGCTCTGGGCCGTCCCTTACTGCTCTAAGCAGGGAGCTGAATGGCAAGTGGAGCAGCTGGGACACGAACCAGCGCCCATGTGGGATGCCGGCTCATGCAAGGCTAGGGTTTAGGCACTAGGCCATCACGCCGGGCCCAATGCTGTCATTTCTTTTTTTTTTTTTTTAAAAGATTTATTTTTATTATTTTTTTATTGGAAAGGCGGATATACAGAGAGGAGAGACAGAGAGGAAGATCTTCCGTCCGATGATTCACTCCCCAAGTGAGCGCAACGGGTCGATGCTATGCCGATCTGAAGCCAGGAGCCTCTTCCGGGTCTCCCATGTGGGTGCAGGGTCCCAAAGCTTTGGGCCGTCCTCGACTGCCTTCCCGGGCCACGGGCAGGGAGCTGGAAGGGAAGCGGGGCTGCCGAGATTAGAACCGGCACCCATATGGGATCCCGGGCGTGCAAGGCGAGGACCTTTAACCACTTGTGCCACCGCGCTGGGCCCATTGCTGTCATTTCTTAAGCTCAGCATGCTTCAGATCACTGAGGGAAAATGCAGAGACTTAAGCATCAAGTAGCAACTGTGCTTGACGGAACTGGGTGCTGGTTTTGTTTTTATTTATCATAAGAGGCAGAAGAGAAAGCCTGTGTGACTGGCTCGTGCCCCAGCTGCCCGGGAGCCAAGAGCTCGTGCTGGGTCTCCCTCTGCAGGGACCCGGCTGCTTGCTCGCTGCCTGCTGCTCTCGGGCGCGTGAGCAGGAAGCTGGAGCTGCGGAGGGGAGCCCGGCGTGTGGGATGGGCTGCCCCAGGCAGTGGTTGCCGTTGGCTGGCTGCAGCATTGTGGAGCCTTTTCCACCCAGTGTGTGCCCGGCGTAAGAGAGTCGGCTGTCCTGAGGCGCAAGGAGGCCATGGACTCTCCCTCTGCCCTGTTCCAGGAGTCAGCTGGTCCTCTTGGGTGATTGGCCCAGCTACAGGGGGCGAGAGGTCACTCTTCGGTCGGTCGGCTCCCTCTGTAACTGCCTTGCTCACCAGGACTGCCCGGCCGAAGCCAGCCCGAACTCCATGCGTGGGTCATAGGGTCCAAGGCCTTAGGCCGCCTTTGCTTCTTCCCCGGGAGTGTTAGTGGGAAGTGGCTGGTACTCCAACCAGCACTTGTGGGTGCTGATGGGTGACAGCCTAAGCGCTGTGTCACCACACCAGACCCACTTTTGTGTTAGAGATTGTGAGGGCAGCTGCCACACGTGCACTGGCAGCCCATGTGGGCTCCACTTCTTTTTTTAAAGATGTATTAATTTTATTGGAAAGTCAGATTTACAGAGAGAAGGAGAGACAAAGGGAAAGATCTTTCATCTGCTGGTCCACTCCTGAAGTGGCCACAATGGCCAGAGCTGAGCCAATCTGAAGCCAGGAGCCAGGAGCTTCTTCCGGGTCTCCCACGTGGGTTCAGCGTCCCAGGGCTTTGGGCCGTCCTCGACTGCTTTCCCAGGAAGGGAAGTAGAGCAGCCAGGATATGAACCAGTGCCCGTATGGGATCCCTGCTCATGCAAGGCAAAGACTTTAGCTGCTAGGCTACTGCCCTGGGTGGGCGCCACTTCTGATCCAGTGATCGCTTTCAGATAGATAGAGTAGATCTTTTTTTAAAAAAGAAGAAGAAAAAGAAAGAAAAACCCATTCTGTAACTTGGAGGGAAACAGTGGAAAACGTTGGTGAGTGTGTGTTTGTGCCCTCAGTGTGTCGAAAGACTCAACGAGTCCCCTTGATGGTTCAGCGCCAGCAGGAAGCAGAGAGGATTAGCCATCTCTGTGGTGCCAAGTCCCAGGGCCCCAGACACAGCATCAGGTGCTTCTTGGGGCTGGAAGGGAGCTGGGGTCATGGCTGTGGGGTGAGTCCCGCTGCGCCAACAGCCTGCGCCTCGGAGGAACACAGCCCGTCCTCTGCCTGCCCCTTCCTGTGCCTTTGGTCTCCACTGTGGACGGGTGCTTGCTGCTGGGCTGGGGGCGCTTCGTGCACCTGCTCTGTACAGCTGTGCGATGTGACCTGGCGTGGGGAGTAAGCAGCCTGGCGTCTGGCAGCAGGCCGGGCAGCGCCCGCTGGTTCCCGGCAGGAAACGTTACCAGGAAGATGGCCTCCTGGCTCCACGCGCTGAATCCCTGCAGGCGTAGCTGAGGTGAATTTTAGCGACTGGTGACACGAGCCCCACTGCCTCCCTGTCCCCTCTCCCAGGAGAATTTGTCGTCGTCTACACTGATGGCTGCTGCTCCAGCAACGGGCGGAGGCGGGCGCGAGCAGGGATCGGCGTTTACTGGGGGCCAGGACATCCTTTGTAAGTAAAGGGAAAGCTGAAGTTTGTACACGAGACAGAGTGCAACAAAACGCCCTTTTTAAAATCTGCATTTATTTGAAATGCAGGGTTACAGAGAGAGAAAGATCTTCCATCTGCTGGTACATGCCCTCTCCTGGCTGCAACTGCCAGAGCTGGGCCAGTTTTCTTGGGGGTCTCTTACATGCGTGCGGGGCCCAAGCCCGTGGGCGACCATCTGCTGCTTTCGCAGCCGCACCAGCAGGGAGTGAGGCAGCCAAACTTGAACTGGTGCTGGGTGGGATGCCAGTGCCACCATGGCAGCTTCCTGTACTGTGCCACAGTACCGACTCTGGGAAACCTTTGTCTGCTTTTATTGGCAAGGCACTGAGTCAGGCACTGCAGGTCTCCCGTCCACTGGTTCATCCCCAGAAGGGCACAACGGCCGGGGCCCTGTCAGGTCCCAGCCAGGGCCTCAGGTCTCTGTCTGGGTCTCCAGGCCTGAGGTCTCCGTCTGGGTCTCTGTCTGGGTCTCCAGGGCTGAGGTCTGCATCCGGGTCTGTCTGGGTCTCCGAGGCTGAGGTCTCCATCTGGGCCTCCATCCAGGGGTGGCAGGGGCCGCGCTGTTGGAGCCATCACCTGTTGCACATGGGCAGGAAGGGGAAACACTGCTATGCCAGTCACCTGTCCAGAAAAGCGGATTTTTAAAAAAAGAAAGATGTATACATTTGAAGGCGGAGTGACAGAGCAAGGGAGGGGTGCTTAGGGAAGGAGATCTTCCATCCGTTTGTTCACTCCCCGGGTGGCTGCGACGTTGGCTGGGCCAGGCCAAAGCCAGCAGCCAGGAACTCAGCCATGTGCCCCTGTGGGTAGTGGGCCCTGGCACTCTTGCCGTCCTTCACTGCCTTCCCCTGCGTTAGGAGGGCAGCCGGCACTGACCCCGCACCCATCTGCGGTGCTTGTGTGGCAGGAGGAGGCTTCCCGGTTCCCCTGAAAGCTGCACTTTTCAGCTCTGCAGGCACAGGGGCTGTTCAGGCGGCCAGGCACTGAGCTCGGGCCAGGCCGGTGGAGTGCAGCTTGGAGCTGTGTCGGTGCTGAGTGGCTCTGCTCTCGGCCTGGACTTCCTAGCCTGATTTAACAGGCTGACTCTCTGAGAGGCTCTCGCTGCAGGATCCAGGGCTTTGGGTGCCCTGGAGATGGTTCTTGCACGGATGGGGTGCAGGATCCCCGCTAAGATCAGGAGCTGAGAGGTCATCCTGGCTGTGCAGAGGCGTGCCCGGTGCCTGTGGGTGACGGAGCTTGCACAGCAGCTGATGCTCGTGGCCGCCCTGCTCCGGGAGCTTGCCACTGCACAGCTGAGCTCACAGAGTGCCTGCAGCCACGGCTCGCTCCCTCCGGGGGTGGGGCAGATGCTGACACTTGTGGCTTGTGTCCCTGTTGGTGACAGTCCTGGCGGGAGAGGGTCCCAGCCCTCCTCCTAGGGGCAGCTTGGGAAATCTCTTCTACCCTGCAGCCTGAGGAGGGACAGCCTGTCCCGTGTCCATCAGGCTGCAGTTGGCGCCCACGGCCCCACTCCTTGCTGCGGTGCCCACCTGCGCTGCCGCTGCTGCCGGGTGCTTCTGCGTTAGCCTTCCCTCAGTATTAAAGAAAGTCTTCCATTTGCCCCAGTGGCCGGGCATGGCCCACCTGAAGCCAGGAGCCAGGAGTTCAATAAGGACTCCCGAAGGCACAGGGTTCAAGTGCTCAGGCCACCCTCCAGGACACAAACCAGTGCTTCTGCAGGGTTCTGGTGTAGAAGCAGTTCATTGTGCATGCGCCATGCAGAGATAATATAGTGTATTATCCATTAACAGTGAAATAGAAGTCGGACCTGGTACAGTGGCCTAGCTGCTAAAGTCCTCACCTTGAATACGCCAGGATCCCATATGGTCACCAGTTCCCATCTAGCTCCCTGCCTGTGGCCTGGAAAAGTAGTCGAAGATGGTCCAAAGCCTTGGGATCCTGCACCTGCGTGGGAGACCCCGAAGAGGCTTCTGGCTCCTGGCTTCAGATCAGCTCAGCTCCAGCTGTTGCAACTACTTGGGATGGAAGATCTTCCTGTCTGTCTTTCCAATATAAATAAATAAATTTTAACAAAAAAATAAAATAAAATAGAAGTCACCAAGAGGATTAACTTTATAATTGTGTTTTCTCTTGCACTTTTGGGACAGAAACCTGAGTGTTAGACTTCCTGGGCGACAGACGAACCAAAGAGCGGAGATCCACGTAAGTTGTCGGATGTGTCAGATATTCTCTCTTGAGCCGCAGCCGCGAGCCTGGCAGCTCTGTCTCCTCCATCTGTAAGGTTCCATAGGCAGAAGAAACTTAGGGTTAGCGACATTCTGAAAGTCAGGGATTCTCAGCAAAGGAAATGAACGGACATGTTTCGCAAGAACACATTCAAATGGCTGATAGACATAGGAAAAACTGCTCAGGCTCACTGCCGTCAGGGAGATGCAAATAAAACCACACTGAGGTTCCACCTAACTCCTGTGAGACTACATTCAGAATTGTACTAACAACACCTGCTGGCGTGGATGTGGGGAGAAAGGCGCCCTCCTTCACTGCTGCTGGGCTAGTGCAACCACTGTGGAAATCGTGTGGAGAGTGCTTAAAGAACTGCAAGTAAACCTGCCATATGTCCCAGCTATCCTGCTCCTAGGAATATATCCAATAGAAACGAAATCTGCATATGAGAAGGGCATCTGTATTTACAGCAGCACAGTGTACACTAGCAAAGACATGGATCAATCCAGATGCCTTTCCAAAGAGGAGTGGGTAAAGAGACTGTGGTACATCTACTCCATGGAATATTACTCAGCCATTAAAAAGATTGAAATCATACCATTTGCAACTAGATGGTCACAACTGGAGCCCATTCTGCTCAGTGAAGTAAGTCGATCCCTCAAGGACAGAGCCCATATGTTTTGTCTGGTAGAGGGCAGGCTTCATGCAAATCATAAGCTCAGTAGCCCTGTGAATAATGCTTTTGCTACAGCTCATAGGTTAGAAGATTTTTATTTTCATTTCTTCAAAAGTTTCTTTTCTCTTAATAAATTCTTCGCTGACTCATAGATCACACAATGTCAGGCTTTTTGTTTTCTTTTTCGTTTCTTAGCAACATGTTGGTCATTCAGTAGCATGTTATTTGACTACATGGTGATATAAATTTTTTAACTTTATTCCTGTTGATTTTGTTTTGTGGCTTCTCGATAAGGGATTGCATAGTAACTGTGTAATAGAGACTATCTTATCCAGATGTGAAGATAAGATGCAGATACAATATGTATCTTTACTTCCAAATCAAAGATGGACTCCCAACGAAACTGTTGGATATATCTTGACAATAGGATGCTGGACTGTCTGCCACTGTCTGTAACCACAATGTCAGGACACACTTAGATAACAGAATGATGGACATCTGACTGCTTCTGAAGAACTATGTTGTTGTAATAATATGGGGGAAATCAGTGCAGCAGGATAAGGGAAATCCCAGAGCCTAAGGAACTATATGATAAAATTAAAAATAAAATAGAAGGGGAAAAATAAAGATAGGAATTTTCTGGAAAAGTTCTGAAATATGAACAGAAGTATGTCAGGCGTTATTGCATGAACGTTGGTCATTGTGCACGGCCGTGTCCGGCCAGCGCTCTGACCTGTCCTCGTGCTTTCTCAAGGCAGCCTGCAGGGCCATCGAACAGGCCAAGGCCCAGCGCATCCGCAAGCTGGTCCTTTATACGGACAGCATGTTCACTATAAATGGTAAGCTTCCACCATGTGCTTTTGGTTTGTTGGTTTTTAGATTTATCTAGTTTGATTGGGTCACCTCCAGCTGGCTGTAGCGGGCAGCACTGGGCCGGCTGACCAGGACTTGGCAGCTTTATCTGGGCCGTCCCGTGGGTGACAGACTCCTAAGCACTTGGCCATCTTCTGCTCTTTTCCCGTGAGGGGGGAGTCTGGCACAGTCAGGATTCAAGCTGGCGCCCGTATGAGATGCTGGTGATGCGGGGTGCTGATGGCCTCGCCCACTGCCCCAGTATAGGCCCCACACGTTGTATTTTGTGTGTTTTCTGATATCTGAAGAGAAGCAGGTGCTTCTGGGTAAGAGGGAGTGTAAGGGGCAGGACCAGGGGGCAGGGATGCTGTTTGGGAGAGGCTCTGGGGCCCCTGTGCCGCTCTGCTATGTAACACGGGTGTGTGCCACACGCACCCACACACGGGTGGGGTGCACACATCTCTGAGCTTAGAGTCCTTGGATTTGCACACTGGTGAGGAATGTAGGGTCCCCGTGGGTTGTGGCTTCTGTGGGCTGTTTTAGAGCACGTGGGAGGATGCTGAAGAGACCAGAAGAACAGAGACCTCTGTTTCCCTCCAGAGGCAGGTGCTGCTTTGGCTTGGAGTCACGGGTTAGGTTCAGAGGGAAGGGACAAGATGAGGCAAAGAGCGGCGCCATGCTGGCCTGCCGGGGCTGTAAGGAGCCAGGGTTCGGGGTGTGAGAGGGAGACAGGGAGGCGGGCAGGGCTGCGCCATGCTGGCCTGCCGGGGCTGTAAGGAGCCCGGTTTCGGGGTGTGAGAGGGAGATGGAGGCGGGCAGGGCCACGCCCAGGCTGGCGGCTGAGTGTTTGTGCGTCCTCAGGCATCACCAGCTGGGTTGAAGGCTGGAAGAAGAATGGCTGGAGGACCAGCGCTGGGAAGGAGGTCACCAACAAGGAGGACTTCATGCAGCTCGAGAGGCTCACGCGGGGCATGGACATCCAGTGGGTGAGTCCTGGGTCCGCCTTGTGTCTGGCTCTTGGAAGCTGACGGTCTGATTGACTAGACGTGCAAGCTGTGCTCAGGGCTCCGCGACTCAGATGAGCAGTTTCTGTGACATAGGTCACAATGCATGCGGAAGCCTCTGGGCTTCCTTGAGCACCGTGTGGGGAGTGCTGGTCTTGGGCAGAGTGGGGCGAGGAGCAGGACGCGCTCCGGCCGAGGGCTGTGACTGCTGTGCACTTCAACTCTGCTGGAGTGACCTGGGAGTCCACCTGTCCGTTTGGTGGAAATTGGTTGTTATGATGGATTTGGTACACAGAGCAGTGATGCAGTTCTGAGAGATGGCAAAGCTGGTGAGCTGAGCTCGGTGGTCTTTGCCTGTCTTGTGCTCTGCTCCCCATGAGGCTGGGGACACTGGGGCCCCTGGGTATAAATGGGTTAAGTCATGTACACTCACTCCCGCTTGCATGCATGTGCTCTGCCTGGGAGGCTGACCCGGTCCGCTTTTTAAAGTGGAGTCAAAGCCATAAGAATGTAAAATCCAATTTGTGGAGAAATAAAGTAGAATTTATTTTATTTTTTAAAGATTTTTAAGTGGAAAGTCAGATTTACAGAGAGGAGGAGAGACAGAGAGGAAGGTCTTCCAGCCACTGATTCATTCCCCAAGCGGCTGCAACGGCTAAAGCTGAGCTGATCCAAAGCCAGGAGCCAGGGGCTTGCTCCGAGTCTCCCAAGTGGGTGCAGGGTTTCAAGGTTCTGGGCCGACCTCCGCTGCCTTCCCAGGCCACAAGCAGGAAGCTGGATGGGAAGTAGAGCAGCTGGGACGTGAACCAATGCCCCTATAGGATGCTGGCGCTTTCAGGCTGAGGATTAGACAACTGAGCCAGGAAATCCATCAGGGTCTCCCACATGGGATCCTGGCACATACAAGGCAAGGACTTCAGCCGCTAGACTACCACACCAGACCCAAAATAAAGTAGAATTTAAAGAAACAGCCTTGCTGCATAAATGCATAAGGATGCGTGCACATGCGCGCATATACACACTGGGCTCAGGTCAGGGTGCGGCTGGGGAAAGGTGCTTTGGGGATTTTAACCAGGGACAGGGTAGTGAGCTGTGGCTTATGTAAAATTCAGAAGAATAAAAAGAAACTTTGTTTTCACAGATGCATGTTCCTGGTCACTCGGGATTCACAGGCAATGAAGAAGCCGACAGGCTGGCACGGGAGGGAGCTAAGCAGCCTGAAGACGGAGTCATTTAGAACCCCAGCAGCTTGGCGTGGCTGGGAGTGGCTTGGACCCTTGGGGTGGGCTGCAGGGGGCGCGATGGGGTGCTGCAGCCTTGTTGCAGGTGCAGTAAACTAACCGTGAGGTCTGAGACGCTGCCCTTCCGCCAGTTGGGCTCACACTGTTCTCGTTGGTTTTGTTGCAGTCTGGCCCGGAATCTTGGATCTTGGTTTCTCTAAGGAATAATGTAAAACATGGGGTAAAGATTGAGATGCGAAACCCAGAAGTGTCCAGAAGAGCTGGTGTCAGTCAACACAGGTGACTGGAGTCTGTGCGCTGGAGGAAGACGCAGCTGCTGGGGAGTGTGAGCACGGCCTTCGCCCATGTCGGACAGAAGCTGTGCACAGGGCAGCTGGCTCCTGAGTCCTCAGAGATGCAGAAATACGTCTTCTGCATCATGCCAGCTCTGTGACAGTGGCCTCCCACAGGACAGCGGCTCACATCGCAGCTGCTCTGCTTCCCAGCCGGCTTTCTGCCAGCACACCTGTGAGAGCAGCAAAGAGGCCAAGGACTGGGCCGCTGCCATCCTCTGGGGACCAAGATGGAGGTGTTGGACCTGGGCTGGATAGCCTGGCCATCCCAGCCACAGCCTGGCTGCTGTGGGCACTGGGGAAGGAGCCAGTGGGTACAAGATCTCTTACTCTGCTCTCCTTTTTTTAAAATGATCTGTTCATTGTTATTTGAAATGCAGATTTACAGAGGAGACAAAGAGGCCTTCTGTCCTCTGGTTCACTCCCCAAATGGCCACAGTGGTCAGGGCAGAACTGATGCATAGCCAGGAGCCTCCTCCAGGCTTCCCACATGGGTGCAGGGTCCCATGGACTTGGGCCACCCTCTATTACTTTCCTAAGTCACAAACAGGGAGCTGGATAAAAAGTGGAGCAGCTGGGATATAAACCAACACCTGTGTGGGATCCCAGTGCGCTGGGCCTGCCTTGTTCCTGCACATGCACAGACCATCCCAGCAGTGCCCCGGGCCTGCCTTGTTCCTGCACATAGTCTGGACCATCCCAGCAGTGCCCCGGGCCTGCCATGCTCCTGCACACAGTCTGGACCATCCCAGCAGTGCCCCGGGCCCGCCTTGTGCCTGCACACAGTCTGGACCATCCCAGCAGTGCCCCGGGGCCTGCCTTGTGCCTGCACATGCACAGACCATCCCAGCAGTGCCCTGGGCCTGCCATGCTCCTGCACACAGTCTGGACCATGCCAGCAGTGACCTGGGCCCACCTTGTGCCTGTACATGCACAGACCATCCCAGCAGTGCCCCGGGCCTGTCTTGTTCCTCTGCTGCTGCAGAAGGAGTTGGCTGCTTCTTCCAGCAGTTCTCCCACAGAGGGTGTGCCTGGGTCATGTATGAGGAAGGGGCTTCCCACCCCCTGGGGCAGGTGGTTGGGGGAGTCATAGCCTCTGTCCCCAGAGAAGCCTTGTCTCTGATTTCCCCAAGAGGCAGGCCTGACAGGGTAGGCACAGGGGTGTCTGAAGGTCAAGGTGTCAGGGTGTGGCCACTGAGAAGTCCCAGGATGGGTCGCCACAGCCTGCAACACACAGGTTTGGAGGTGTCTTTCCAGGCCCAAGTACTTGGCTGCTGCCCCCAGAGGGAGAGCCAGGAGTTACTGGACCCTGACTTGGGCCAAGTGCCTCTTCCCTAGTTCCTTGCTGTGGTTTCAGCCTCGCCCCAAGGTTCAGGGGCTGGAAACAATCCCAAACTCCCCTGTAGGGCTTGGGCCTCTGAGGAGTAGCTGGGATTGGAACCTCCTTGTGTCACTGAGGTGGCCGATCCCAATGCCACGCTCTTGGGCCACTTCCCATGAAGTGCCTGTGTGTCGCTGTCCCGCAGTGATGGACTTGGTGCACGGAGCCGATAATGACACGCGTGGACCCTGATGGTCAAAAGCCAAAGTTTATTAGGGGCATCAGACTTTATACACTGAGGGTCATATGGGATAAGGGAGGAAGTATTGAGCTCATCAACAAAACCCATCAACTGTTTCTATACTCTTGTTTGGAACTCCTTTTGTCTTGTGTATTCCACCAAGTGTTCTCATTCACGTGCTGTCCACTCAGCTGTTCTCATGCAAATGATATCCATATTGTCCAATCTGCGGTAATCCTGTGCTCGCAGACCTAGGGTCACAGTGTCCTTCACCTGTGTCTGCCAGCATCCTGCGCCTGTGGCAGGAAGCAGGCTGAGACACAAGCCTTTGCACTCCTCAGGACAAGTGTCCAAGTTTTTGGCCTCAAGGCCTTATGTCAATCGTGCCTATGATCTTGACTCTGGTCCCCAGCAGGCCCTGGCATCTGCTGCTGGCTCCCCCTCCATCAGCCCAGAGTGCCTGGTTCTGTTTGAATAACACCAATCACCTTCTGAGTGCCATGACGTTATTACGTTAAAGAGCGGGCACCCTGGGCCCCACAGGCCTGACTCACGAGACCCATGAGGTCCCGCATCTCTACAAAGTACATCTTGACACTTGGCCTCGTCCTGAGGATTCCTCCAGAAACTCAAGATTCTGAGTAAAAGGTCCCACCTGCCCGCAGCCCGCAGACTGACGAGGCTGCGCTGCCAGCGTCACTTCCCTGGAGAGAGCAGTGCTGCGGCTCAGTGTGTGAGTCTGCTGCCTGGGACCCCCTCGACCCGTCAGACGCCGGCTTGGAGCCCTGCACCAGCTGCAGTGCCGGCTCTGGCTGTGTGGGAAGTGGTGTAGGTTGGAGTAGCTCTGTCTGCTGTGCTGTCACTCCCACAAATAAATCTTAAAAAAAAAAAACCCAATTCCCTGGAAAACAGGATATTGCTAGCCTGGGCAGTCGGAAGTCACTGCGGATCAATCTGAGCCTGAGCTGGGAAGGCGCCTGTTGGCTCTGGGTCTCCAGCCCCAAGCCCCCCAGGGAGCCCACAGCTGAGAGAGCCGCCCTGGCCCTGCACTTGGGCACTTGGGAAATTAGTACTGACTGTCTTCCACCAGCGACGGGTGGCGGGCTCCACCAGTCTGCCAAGTTGTTGAACATGAACCCGTGTGGGGGTGCTGCTAGGACCCTGCAAAAGGAGGATGAGACGGGGCACCTCACTCTGGAATCGAAAGTTTGCACTTCATCCTGGGAGCCCCTGGCACGGGGCTGTGTGACGTGAGCAAAGCACGGCAAGGCTGGGAGGATGCCATGGCCGCTGCGGCTGCCTCGGTGCAGGGCCCACCCTCGGCGACCAGAGCTGGAGCCCTCAGCACAGACCACCTGTGTTCTCCCCATAAGCGGTGAGACAGCAGAAGCAGGCCGAGTGCCCTCAGAGGGCCAGTGGTGACACAGCAGAGAGCTGGGCAGTGCTGTCTTGGCACGCATGCACCTCCTCTTGCTGCTCCGACAGGACACACGTCCGGGCCTGCTGCTCCGGTCGCCCAGGCTGCCAGCTCCCCTCCCATAATGCAGCCCCCGGGGATACAGGGCTGCAGGGTCGCCCTCGGCAGCCCCCTGGAACCTGCATGCGAACACTGAAGCTGGCAGAGGCTCCTGCACCATGCTGCACTATCTCTGGCTAGGAGGCTCCCACTGCAGCCAGGAACCTGGGACAGATTGCACTCGCCTGCCTGCCCTGGGAAGCTGTAATGTGAGCACTGTTAGCAGGAGCCACCTCGGCCTGCTGCCCGCCTCCAGGGGCCCGCCTCGGCCTCCTGCCCGCAGCCCCTGAACAGCTGTGCCTTCAGTGCTTCCTGCACCAGCACCTGTTCTGGCCTTTTTTCTGCAGAGATGCCAACTCAGGCCTTTTACTAAGAACACTCGCCACCCTCAGAACGGGCCCTTGGGACAGGGGCCCGGGCAGGGCTGGCCTTCCAGAACTCCGCTGGGGTCAGGGGGCTGGAGGGGAAGCTCTGCACAGGTCACAGCTGCCGAGAGCATCTGTGCCTCAGAACATGGCAGCAGATGCCCCCGAGGGTGCCGCTCTGTGCTGATAAATTCTGGCCATGACATGAGCTTCTGGACTGCTGCCGGCTGTTCTGGGAGGAATAGTTCAAGTTCAAAAGACTGCCCTTCAAGAGGGCTTCTGTGGGCCAGCCACATGCACAGGAACACAGTGGGAACCACTCTGCCTGAGCATTGAGTACGCAGGGCAGGAGGCTCACCGTGGCTCCTCCTGTCTCCAGGGGCAGGCCATCTTTGGCCGCAGGAACTCACAGTTCCTGCCCTGCTGAGTGTCTGAACAGTGACGCCTTTGGCTGGTGGAGTCCCAAGCCCGGCATCGTCACTTCCTGGCCAGTGGCCTCCCACGCGGGGCTGGGTCCAGCTGTGGAGACAGGCCTCAGTGCAACCCTGCACCAGTGACCCTGAGCCCCTGAGCATCCAGCAGACGTCACTCTGCTCGGGCCCCTTCCTGAAGGACCTCAAGTTCAGTGTGTGGGAAGGAGGAGGGGCCCAGAGTGCAAAGACACAGAAAGACCCTGGTGTGGACAGCCGAGAACAGACTGGGAGCTGTCAGGGCCAGGTGACCGGAAGTTAGTCGAGGGCCTCTGGCACAACAGTCAAGTTGCAGCTGGGATGGCTGGCATTAAGGTAGAGCAGGGTAAGCTGCTGCCAGCACACCCCAGGGTGCTGGCTCCAGTCCTGGACACTCCACTTCTGATCCAACCCCTGCTGATGCAACTGGGACAGCAGTGGCCAACAGTTCAAGTGCTTGCGCCCCTGCTGCCGCATGGGAGACTCAGAGTTCCCACCTGGCTTTGGTCTGGCACAGCCCCGGCGGTAACGGCCAGTGGGAGACTAAAGCACAAGATGGGTCTACTGTAACATTGCTTCTCAAACCAACCTCTAAAAACAAGACATTGGCTGGGCTGCCCGTATCTGGGCTTGCATTCAGCTTCCTGCCAACTGTGTACACAAGAGGCAGTTCTGCCACTCAAGGGGGGGGCAACCCCATGGAGGAGACCCCAAGGGTGCACGGGGGTCTTGGCTCTGCTGTCGCAGGCATGTGGGGGTAACTCGGTATACACAAGCTCTCTTAGATGGCGGGTGGCAAAGCTGAGGCGCGGTTTGTATTAAAGGTCATTCGGCCTCTCTGTGTGGACCCAGGTCGCAGCAGGCACCTGGGCAGAGAGCCCACAGTGGACTGGGGACCCCTGTCCTGGCTCCACCTCAAGGGCGACCGTAGGACTGCCAGGTATGTGTGGCAGTGCCCCAGGCATCACTGCAGGTCCTGGTCACGTGGAGGCAGCATGGCAGGATCTGGGGGCACGCGGCGGCAGGGTAACCAGCGCAGCTGGCAGCCCCTGACAAGGGCAGCCATGAGCAGCGGCTCCGCGATCCGTCTGCACACAGATGGCCGCGGACACGGAGGGGGATGTTGGCTGCGGCTGCAGTGAGCTCCCGCACCAGCACCAGGCCCCTAGTACCTCGTGGTCAGGACAGCCAAGCCTTTGGGACGTCCTCCGGGAGAGCCGGGCGTGTGCTCAGGACGCAGGGACGGCCCGCTAGTCTCGTGTTTTTAATCTGCTATCTGAGCTGACGCCAGGGCGCCTGCGTCCACGCGCCAGGGCCGGGCTCCGCGAACTTCTCTGCCCCCTCCTTACCCGCCAGGTCCCGCCCGAGGGCCGGCCGCCCCTCCCCGGTCCCGCCCTGCTCCCTAGAGGCCCCGCCGGCCGAGCGCCGCCCGCAGTCGCAGCCATGGTGCAGGCCTGGTACATGGACGACAGCCCCGACGACCCGCGGCAGCCCCACCGCCTCGAGCCGAGCAGCCCAGTGGGCCTGGAGCAGCTGCGCCAGCTGGGGATGCTCTACTGGAAGGTGCGCGGCCTAGGGGGAGCGTGGGGGCCGGCCGGGCGCGATGCGCATGCTCACAGCCCGGCTGGGTGGGCGAGCGCGGCGCGTCCGGGTGTCTGCGCATGCTCACAGCCCGGCTGGGTGGGCGAGCGCGGCGCGTCCGGGTGTCTGCGCATGCTCACAGCCGGGTTGGGTGGGCGAGCGCGGGGCGTCCGGGTGTCTGCGCATGCTCACAGCCGGGCTGATGGGCGAGAGCGGGGTGTCTGCGCATGCTCGGCGGCTGGCGCCTGCTGAGCATGCTCAATAGCGGGGCTAGGGTGGGAGTCCGCGGGGTGCCCGGGAGGGTTGCGCATGCTCGTAGCGGGGCCAGGGTGCCGGGCACCGGGCGGCTGGGCGGGTTGCGCAAGCGCGGCCTGGGGTTCTGTGGGAGGTGGGCTCGCAGCTCGTGGGGTCGGCCTGTGGGGCGGGTGCCCCCGTGACGGGCTGAGCTGGGTCGGGGTCTGGCTCGCCAGGCTGTGCCCTCGAGGGAGGGGACGAGGGCGAGCTGCCCTCCTGCGCCCGGAGCCAGGGCTGGGCTCGACCCGAGGGAGGCGTGGCTGGGCGCGCCCTGGAGTTTGTTGGTCCACCTGCATTTGTGAGGCCAAAGCAAACACACAGGCCGCGCTGGCCTTGGGCCTTGGGCCCGCCCTGTGGACTTCAGACAGCAGACTGCTGGACCAGGAGAGGAAGGTCACTATTACTGTTTTTAAAAGACTTTACAGAGAGTTGGGAGAGGAATGGAGAGCGAGCTCTTGCATCCGCTGGTTCACCACGGCCGGAGCTGCTCTGATCGGAAGCCAGGAGCCAGGAGCCTCATCAGGGTTTCCTGTTGCATGGTTTCCCCAGGCCGTCGGCAGGGGCTGGGTTGGGAACAGTGGGACTGCAGCTGGTGTCCATATGGGATGCTGCCGTCGCTGGCGACTTTAGCTGCAGTGCCAGCCGGCGCTGAGAGAAGGCTGTGCTTAACAAGGAAATCCCGCTTTCCCACAGTCCGCACTGCCCGAAGGATCCGATTAGCACAATTCACTGTGTGCTTGACAATCCTAAGGTCAAGAGGAGAATGGCAAAGAGGACAAGATGGTGCCCCCTGCAGAGGGACTTGCAAGGGGCCAGACCGGCCTCCTCCCGCCTAGTTCGCTTCTGAATTGTGCGTCAAAGCTGTCAAAATTAGATGGTGCTGGCTCCTTGGTTGTGTTCTGGGCATTTGTTTTTCTTTTTAAAAATACGTTGGGCGGCCAGCATTCTGTGTGGGCGCTGCTATGAGTCCTGGCTGGCCCAGTATGGATCCGGGAAAGCAGCGACCATGGCCCGAGTGCCGGCGAGTTCCCGGCGTCGGCCTTTGGCCAGCCCTGGCCATTAGGGCTACTGGAGCGGGAACCAGCATGTGGAAACCTGGCTCTCCCAGTCTCCCATTCCCTGTAGCTCCGCACTTCAAATAAGTGCCTTTTTTTTTTTTTAAGTAGCTTTCTCCAGTGCCTATAAAACTGTATCACATAATACAATGTTAATAACAATTAAAAAAAAGAAGTAACAAAAAAAATTTAAAAAAATAAAGTAGCTTTCTGGATCAGAGGGAGTAGATGGGGGAACAGTTGTGTCTGTTGGTGACCTGGTGGAGTGGAGTGGTGGAAAGCTCTGGAAGTGGGGCAGAACTCTGGTGTCGCACGCACAGGGACCAGGGGCAGAGCTCCCCACGCGCACACTGCGTAGTGGGAATGGCGCCACGCAGTGGGCTTCTAAAGCATGGCGGTTTGATGACCAGGACTTGAAGAGGCTTTGGAGTTTGCTGGTGGCGCACTGATGACAAGGTGTCCACATCTTATTTATCTGTAATGCAGAGGAGAGAAATCTTCCATCCGCTTGATACTCTTCCTTGCTGTACCGGCCTGGATTCAACCCGCGTTTCCCACGTGGCTGGCTCGGATCTGCTTGCGGACCCCTCACCACTGCCTTCCGGGGTCTGAGTGAATAGGGAGCCGGGACAGAGTGGAGCCCAGCCTGACAGCCAGGCACCCTCATGGGACTGTGGGCATGCCCGGGGGGACACCCTTGACCACAGGGAACAGTTCATGACGAGGCGATGGCAGTGGTGTGCGGTAGGGTGACTAAGGTGCCAGTCGCGATGCCACTGACCTGGGCAGAGTCGCATCTCGGCTTCCCAAGCAGCTTCCTGCTAAAGCGTGGCAGCAGGTGCTGGTTCGGGCTCGGCTCCCTGCTGCCCACGTGCCAGGCCTGGGCACAGCCGCTTCCCGCCTCACTGCTGGGGACATCTCGGGAGTGAACTAGGGAGAGAAGGTCTTGGCCTCTGCGCCTGAGCCCTTCAAGCCAGATGATACGAGAAAGTACTTCAGTAACTGAAAATGTGAAGTGGGCATTTTAGGTTTAGCTGTCTCCAGGGAGAGGGCTTTGAGCAGTATACTATACTGCTTTGCTTGCTGGTGTCACTTTTAAGAGAAGGGAGCAGAGACTAGGAGAGTGGAAATGCCAGCTGGGGCCAGATGCAGGAAGTCCTCCCACTCGGTCAGCTATGCTTGGATCTGCTCTGTGGGCTGTGAGAGCAGCAGGCATCTTGGCCTGGGGAGCGAACTGCCCAGAGAGGCTCCCCGGGGGATCCTGGGGCTTGCCAGGTGGGGTGGTGGCAGGGAGTTGGGACAGGCAAGGCAGCAGTTTCTGGTCATTGAGAGCGTTGCGTGGTGTGTAAGCTGGAGTCCCCCAGAAGGGTGGGGGCAGAAAAGGGACCTCTGGCTTCCTGTGGGCATTTTGGAGAAGAGAGTGCGGGGGGGCAAGTCTTGATGTCCACATGGTCCCGTGGTCCTGATGCCTGCGTGGTCCCGTGGTCTCGATGCCTGCGTGGTCCCGTGGTCTCGATGTCCACATGGTCCTGTGGTCTTGATGCCCACGTGGTCTCGATGCCCACGTGGTCCTGTGGTCTCGATGCCTGTGTAGTCCTGATGCCCACGTGGTCCCAATGCCCGTGTGGTCCCGTGGTCTCGATGCCTGCCTGGTCCTGATGCCCGCGTGGTCCCGTGGTCCTGTGGTCCCAATGCCCATGTGATCCCATGGTCGTGGCCGCCAGCTGGGTGAGAGGTGTCCTCAGTGCATCCTAACCACCTGTCTTTGACAGCTGGATGCCGACAAGTACGAGGACGATCCGCAGCTGGAGGAGATCCGGAGGGAGAGGAATTACTCCTGGATGGACATCATCACCGTGTGCAAAGACAAGCTGCCCGACTTCGAGCAGAAGGTAGACCGTCGCCGCCCCCACCCGGCCCACGGACGCACGCTTGCCGCCCTGCCCTCTGCGCCTGACCTTCTTTGAGTCTGGGGGTGGCAGCAGAATTCTGTCCTCCCAGTCCCTTTTCCAGCATTTTCTGTGTGTAGAATGGCGAGATTTTCCCGTTACATTTGATACATTCACCAGTGACGCTTGGAGTTCTGCTTGTGTGAAGGTTTTGGTTTAAGATTAATTTATTTTTCTGAAAGGGCAGAGTGACAGAGAAAGTCTTCCATTTGCTGGTTCACTCTGCAGAAGAGCATGACTGCCAGGGCTGGGCCAGGCTGCAGCCAGGAGCCGCCGGTGTGGGTGGGAGGGCCCCGCGGGGGAGCCGGCTCTGCGATGAGCTGGCCTTGCGGACAGCGGTGGCTTCCTGTGTGTGCCACGCGCTGCCCCTGGCTTGCAGGAAGGCTTGGCTGTCCATCTCCGAGGGGCACAGGACCTTGACCGCTCCACAGTGTGCATTCAAGGAGTTGTCGCTTCCTCCGAGCTGTGCTGTGGCTGGGACGGCCCCGCACCGCTGTGTGCCCCCTGCCATCTGGCACGTCTCCCTGTCTGTCCCCAAGTCTGGCCTCAGCTTTGCCAGCTCGCTCAGTCATTTTGGAGGACTTTGGTTTCATTGATTTCTCTGTTTTTCTTTTTTATCTTACTGATTTCTGCTCTGATCTTTAGTATTTGCTTTCTTCTGTGTGATTTAGGGTGGATTTGTTCCTTTTGCAGCCGTGTGAGGTGGAAGGCTCCGGCCTGGGGCTTGCCTTCTGGCTCAGTGCCTCACATGCGTTTTCACGGGATTTACGCAGTGGCTTCTCATCTGACAAGTCAGCCTGCAGTTCTTTAGGGATGTTCCTGGGTTTCTGTGTCACTGTGCTGGAGGATACGCTGGCCTGAGGTGACTTCTAGTAGCCACCTCTGGACTCTCCGCATGGCCCAGTGTGAGGTCTGTCTGGAGAACATGGGCTGCCCGCCATTGCCAGAGGAAAGAAGGCAGGGTGCCCGCCGTCGTTGGCACAGTGCTCAGGGGTGGAGATGTGTCAGAGAAGGTGGCAGCTGTGTGGTGGCCTCGGCTGCTCCGAACAGCCACCTGTGTCCACCCGGGATTCTGCTGCTGTCTTGTTGGGCGCTTGGACGTTGGAGGTGGCGTGTCTGCCCCCGATGCCAGCCGGGTCCTGTGCTCTTCATGCTTCGGCATGGCCGTCCGTCCTGCCTTGGGCCTCGGCTGGATCAGACATGTGTTGTTGATTTTCACCTTGACTTTCTCCTCTTGTAAAGAGTGACAGCGTCCAGAACTTTGTCAGGCCAGGGACCAGGAGTCACGTCTGACCTGCAGCCTGCTTCCCAGGGCCCCCTCCCGGCCCGCCCGCCTTTGCTCTAAACCGCACCCCACCTTGCTTCTCCTCTGTCCATGCAGTAAGTTGTCTTCTAGAGTTTTAAATGAGAAAGACGTCTCCTCTGCTCGCATGCCTGGCGTTTCCGGTTCTGTTACGGAAGGCCCACGTCTCTCGGATTGTTTGCACGCTGCCTGAAGGGCTTCCGTAATGCTTCGTGTGTCAACACAGTTTGTTCTCTTTAAAAAAATTTTTTTCCATTTGAAAGCAGAGTTGCAGAGAGAGAGGAGAAACAGAGAGAGAGAGAGTGAGAGAATGTGTGCTGGGTCACTCCCCAAATGGCTGATCTGCAGCCAGGAGCCAGGAGCTTCTCTGGGTCTCCCATGTGGGTGCAGGGTCCACTGTCTTCCTAGGCACAGGAGCAGGGAGCTGGCTGGAGGTGGAGCAGCCAGGACATGAACTGGTGCTGCTTGTGCAAGCTCCGTGTGCTGTGCCACAATGCTGCCCCAACACTCACTTTTTGTTTTCATTAAATTTCTTTTAAAAATTATGTATTTTGCCTTGAAAGGTAGAGAGAAGAAGAGAAAGAAAAAATGAGAGACATATCCAGAGAGAGAGGTCTCCCACTTGTTGCCAGGGCTATGCCAGCTCAGCCGGGAAGCTGGGAACGCAATCTGGGTCACCCGCGTGGGTGGCAGGAAATGGAAGTTCTAGAACGATCGATCGTCTGCTGTCTCCCAGGGGAAGCTGGAATGCAGATGAAACAGATGCAGCGGCCTAAGTGCTGTGCCAGCACCTGCGCAGTTTGTTTCAGAGCAGTTTTAGGTGTGCAGGAAAACTGGAGGCAGAGTCCCCATGGCCCACACTCCCAGGCAAGCCCTGCCGTTCTCCACCGCGGTGGTGCGCCTGTCCCTTCTCCCGGAGCCCACCACTCACCAGGGCTTGCATGGCTGTGGCCGGGGCAGGGGGCGTGCACCATTCAGTCCTGCGTGCTCCGGCCCCCGTCCCTGCGACACCCCCGTGGACATGGCCGCAGCCTCTCCTCCCAGAATAGCACATGGTTGAAATGAAGCAGCTAAGGGCTCTGCAGACCGGCTTCCCTGATCGGCTGTCGCCCACGCCCTGTCTTCTGGCTCAAGCCTTCTGGCTCCCACTGTCTGCAGGTCCCATGGCTTCCTCTTGCCTGCTCACTGAGGCTGTGCACATACCTTCCGCTCCCCTGGCCCCAGGGTGGGTGTGCTACTCCACCTTCCCAGCATTGGTGCTGCTGGGGTGGAGACCGAGGCTGCGGCAGGGGTGTGGGGGGCTGCGGCAGGGGTGTGCGGGGCTGCGGCAGGGGTGTGGGGGGTTAAGGCTGAACTAGGGGTGTGTGGGGCCGAGCCCGGGGCTTCTGCTGGTTCTCCCACATAGATGCAGGGACCCAAGTTCCACTGCTTTCCTAGGGCACAAGCAGAAAGCTGGATGGGATGTGGAACAACCAGAACACGAACCAGCACCCATATGGGATGCTGGTGCAACAGGCAGAGGCCTAATGTGCTATGCCGCAACGCCAGCCCCAAGCAAAGCTTTAAAAGTGATGTCGTGGGTGCTCACGCCACGCATGCACATTTGTTTACTTGTAATTCGCTACGGAGACAAGCCCTTAGCAAAGACATGGAAGTGTTTTCCTGGTCCGTAGCCACCATCCTCCCAAGTCCCCTGGCTGCTTGCTGGCCTTGGTGACCGGGGTGCTGAGTGTGGGGCCGGGACATCAGCGTGGCAGTGCCCGGTTATGGCCCAGTCCATGGCACGGGGCTGGTGTGAGTGATGAGCTGGCCCGGCACGGACTGCCCTGGGGCCTGCCCCTCGCCCATGGCCACCTCCGCTCTGCACTAGTGCGGTGCTTGTCCTCACGGGGGCAGTGCCTGTGTCCTGGGTTCTGTTCTGTGGGTCGGGGATGCCAGGGGATCAGACCCGGGAGACTGACAGCCCTCTTTCCCAGCTGAAGATGTTCTACGAGGAGCACCTGCACCTGCACGAGGAGATCCGCTACGTGCTGGAGGGCAGCGGCTACTTTGACGTCCGCGACAAGGACGACAAGTGGATCCGCATCTCCATGGAGAAGGGGGACATGATCACGCTGCCTGCCGGCATCTACCACCGCTTCACGCTCGATGAGAAGGTGGGTCCGCTGGCGCCTGGGGACGCCGGGCACTCAGCACGGCACCGAGGTCCTTCCGGCTGGGCTGCCTGAGGCCACTGCCTGCCCAGTGCAGCCAGAGCCCGTGCGGTGTCCTCGCTCCAGGTGAGGACAGACACACCCCTGCTAGTGTGTGCAGCTGCCACTGGGCACGTGGGGCCTACGGGGACCTCCCGCCCCTTGTCCATTGGTAGGTCTGGGGCTGAGGGCAGCTGGCGTCGTGGGGTTCACCTGGCAGTGGACTGCTGGAATGTGGCACCAGCAATGCCATCTGCAGTCCCTGAGTCCTTGGTGTGGCTGGAACACAGCTCCCACTGTGTACAATCCAGCACTGGGCGGAGGTGGGCGTGCGCCGATCTTGCCCACAGCCTGCCGCTGTTGGAGCCTCCCGGTGTTGTTTCCAGCCTGATTCGTGGCGGGGGCAGTGGGTGGCACCGTGCACCTGCCACATCTCCTGGACATGGAGATCCCTGTTTCACACCCAGCGAGCTGGTTAGTGTTTGCTGCATGTGCTCTAGTTGATTTATTTTTAAAGATTTAATTTTATTGGAAAGGCAAATATACAGAGAGGAGGAGAGACAGAGGAATATCTTCCGTTCATTGATTCACTCCCCAAGCGGGTGCAGTGGCCAGAGCTGCGCCAATCTGAAGCCAGGAGCCAGGAGCTTCCTCTGGGTCTCCTATGCGGGTGCAGGGTCCCAAGGCTTTGGACCATCCCCAACTGCTCTCCCAGGCCTCAAGCAGGGAGCTGGATGGGAGGCAGGGTCCACCGGGATTAGAATTGGCTCCCATATGGGATCCTGGTGTGTGCAAGGGGAGAACTTTAGCCAGTAGGCTGTCATGCTGGGCCCTGATTTATTTACTTATTTATTAAAGGTTTATTATTATTATTTAAAGACTTATTTATTTGTATTGGAAAGGTGGATATACAGAGAGGAGGAGAGACAGAGAGGAAGATCTTCCATCCATTGGTTCACTCCTCAAGTGACCACAACAGCCAGAGCTGTCTGTGTCTCCCACATGGGTGCAGGGTCCCAAGGCTTTGGGCCGTCCTCGACTGCTTTCCCAGGCCTCAATCAGGGAGCTGGATGGGAAGCAAGGCTGCCAGGATTAGAACCGGCGCCCATATGGGATCCCGACACGTTCAAGGCGAGGACTTGAACCACTACGCTATCCCGCCAGGCCCTAAAGGTTTATTTTTGTTGGAAAGGCAGATGTGCCCCTAGGGACAGGAAGGGAAAAGTGCCCACGAGCCAGTGATAGGGTTACAGAGAACACGCAAGGGACCTTCAGAGTTCCTGCAAACTCTGAAGTTAAGCAGGTTAAGCAGCTGCCTACAATGCATCGCCTTATATCAGCACCAGTTCCTGTCCTAGCCAGCTGCCTGCTCAGGTGCCTGGGAAGGCAGCACAAGATTGTGCAAGTGCTTGGCCCCTGCCCTGTGGGGGAGGTGTGGAGCTCCTGGCTCCTGGCTTCGGCTCAGCTCAGCTGCGGCCATTGTAGGCACATGGCGGGGGGAACCAGCACAGGGATGGCCCCCCCTTCACCCCGTGATTCTGCCTTTCAAATAATACATCTATCTTTTAAAAAAAATGAGCTCTGCCTTCAGACCAGAGATGGTCTCCCCAAGAAACCGTTGAATGTATCTGGACAATTAGATGCTGGACTCTGCTTGGTATATGCTGCAATGAAAAAATCTCAACTGAATTTGATCTGTAATACTGCAGCAAGGTGGAGGAGTCCACCATGGGAGGAGGGCATGGGGGAATCCCAGAGCCTATGAAACTATGTCACATAATGCAATGTAATTAATAATAATAAAAAAAAGAATTAATGAGAAAATGGAACAAATCACATTTGTTCCTTAGACAGGTGCTATGTAAATGAAAGGTGATAATCAAATGAGAAAAAAAGAGCTGGAATTAAAAAAATATGTCATTTATTTGAAAGAAAGGGAGAGAGAGAGAGAGAGATATCTTCGGCTGCTGATTCACTCCCCACATGGCTGCCAGCAGTTGGTGCTGGGCCATGTGAAGCCAGGAGCCAGGAGCTTCCCCCAGGTCTCCCATGTAGGCGCAGGGCCCAAGCACTTGGCCAGTGTTCTGTTGCTTTCCCAGGTGAGTTAGCAGGGAGCTGGATCAGCAGTGGGGCAACTAAGACTCAAGCCAGCTGTCACTGGGGATGGCGGTGCAGGCGGCAGCTTGACTCACTGTGCTACAAGAGAGCAATGTAAGAGAACATGGGTGCCAAAGTTAAGCTGCGGCGTGGCTGCTCAGGCCCCATGGTGCCGTGTTCGCCTCCAGCTTCCTGCTGTGGCTGTGACCTGGGTGCGTGCTAGCCACGTGGGAAACCCAGTGGGCACTCCTGGCCTCGGCTGGCTCGCCCCGCCTTGTGGCCGTTCGGAGAGTGGATGAGCGGATGAAGAGCTCTCTGTGTCTGCCGTTCAAATACAGAAGATCCCGTGTGTGCCTGCATGTTCTTTCTGCACCAGAATAAACTTGCCCTGCAGGTTGTTTGCGGTGAGCCTCTGCGGTGTCCTGTAGAGCCGATCGCACGCCGGAGCTGCCAGCCACGAGCTCGCCTTAGGGGAGACCCGGCCTCCCTGCAGGCGGGGGCGGTGCGGGGAGTCTTGCCATGCGTGTGCTGGGTACACTCGGGCAGCTACGGGTCTGATGAGATGCTGGGCATGTCCATGTTTTCTAGAACTACGTGAAGGCCATGCGACTGTTCGTGGGCCAGCCCGTGTGGACAGCGTACAACCGGCCGGCGGACCACTTCGAAGCGCGGACACAGTATGTGAAGTTTCTGGCCCAGTCGGCCTAGCCGTGGCGTCTGGGAGCGTCGCCGCCCGTGAAGCTCTCCCACTGCGAACAGCACTTGGCCTGTGTCCCCTCTGCTTCTGTAGTGCCTGAAGCTAGCTCATCCTTCCCCCTTGAGATGACTGCACTGGGGTTTAATTTCCCCGTGGAGTGCCCTTGCCGCACCGTGCCCGTCTCTCCCTGGTGTGACCCTGCCTCTTCAAAGGGGCAGGTGCCTAACTCGCCTGATGGTGGCCACTGCCTGTTCAGACGACAGTGCCCAGGGCCAGGTGGGCAGTGGTCAGGGCTGGGGACCTGGTTCCCTTCTTGAGCAGCTGGCATGCTGGGGGTCCCTCAGTCCCCTGGGGGACTGCATCGGGTCCCTGGTCCCCAGCTGTTACAAGCACTTGGGGAGTGAAGCATCCAATGGGTGCTGTTCCTCTGTCCGCCTCTCTGATAAAGAAATGGAATAAAGCAAATTGGAAACAGAGCCGTTGCCTTCTTGTCAGGGTTTGCACACTCGGGTGGTTCCTGTCAGGAATGTACCTGTTACCCGTGTCACCTGTTCTTCCTATGAAGCAGCTCGGACCTTCAGTTGCTTCTGAATTGGACAAGAGTGAGGACTTCACTTTGCTTCTCAACGACTCTGAGACGGGATTACACCGAGTCAGTTATAATCATGGGGGAAAACAAGACCCAAACCAAGCCCTAGGTGGGCAGCTTTGTGAACTAGATGAGAAATCTGCGTGGGAAGTGAGTCCGTGGCCTCTCGGCATGCTCCCAGTGTGTCCACAACACAGCAGGTCCACACGTGTGGACAGCGGCGCAGCTTCAGGCGTGGGCTCCCAGCGGCAGGCGGTGCCTGGCCCACCTGGCTGCCCAGCCCTGCAGCTGGCAGAAGCGCTGCTCCGCTGACGTCCTGGGACTTCCTTTCTGACTCGCGAATTGTGCAGAACTAACACGCGAGCCCAGGGCTTGGAGCTGCCCACTTGGCCTCAGGTAGCCCTTCGGTGGGACGCCGGGACTTGCTCTCCCAGTGGCCGGCTCACCCACAGCCTCCCTCTCCTCCTTCCAGGCGGCTCTGCGGTGTCGCAGCCTCGCGGCTCTGCTGACCACTTACAGCCACATTTGGCTGCCTTTTCCGGAGTGTGGTTTGCATCTTGTGCACACGTTCCCGAGCACGGGGTTGTACGCAGTGACACACACTTGGCGTTGGACACAGGTGCAGCTGTGGGAGAGCTACAGCTGCTGACGTGGACGGGTCTGCCCTGTCCTCCCCTGGGGAGAGGGGTCCAGCCCCGGTGGCATCTGTCCTGGTCCTCAGCAGGCCTAGGGAGCGGAGGGGCTGCGTGCATGGCGAGGTGCTGGCCTCCGTGGGGGAGTGGGAGCAGGGCCTGGCTCTCTGGGTCCTGTCCCAGTCCCTGCAGACACTCCAGTCCTCAGTGACAGAGCAAGTGCCTGAAGGCAGAAGGCCGCGTGCCCGCGGAGACACCAGCGTTGGCCTTTGCACAGCGTCCACTGTGAACATGGTCGCTGGAAGTTAGGTGGGTCACACGGCTGAGACGTGTGGAGACTGCAAAATGAGGTGAAGTGGCCCAGGATGGCTGGGAAGCTTCCAGAAGAGTCGTAGCCAAGCATGGAGGGAAGAGCGGGCCTCAGCAGGCCAGGGCTCCAGCAGCACCAGTGGTCCAGGCCTCCTGGGAGTAGGCAGGTACCCGCACTGCTGCCACCCTGGGCGCACGCTGCAGCTGCCTGACGGTGGAGTCAGCACTGCCCCAAGGCACCTCAGTGTCCCGACCAGGCTCTTCATGGCTGGGCACCTGCATGCCACAGTTTTAGTTCACTTACCTTTTAATATAAGGAAAACTGAGTGTAAACAGCATAAAATAATTATTCAGACATTATAAATGCTCAGCATTTTGCTCTTTACTGTTTATTTTTGAAGGATTATTTACTCTCAAAGTCAGGATTAGAGAGGGAGACATACTGAACCATCTGCTGATCTTTCTCACAAGGCTCCAATGGTTAGCTTTGGGCCAGGCCAGGGAGGCCAGGAGCTAGGCGCCTCTTCTGGGCATCGCCCACGTGGGTGCAGGGTCCCAAGGCTTTGAGCCTCCACTGCTTTCCCAGGCCACAAGCAGGGAGCTGGGACATGAACTGGTGCTCATTTGGGAAGCTGGCATGGCTGAACACCTGCTACTCTAGAACACCGGCCCCTCTTTCCTGTAGGAGCCGAAGGCGGTGTCGCTGCTGCGTGGGGAGCTTCCCCTAACCCTGCCTGCTCCTGAGCAGCCTGCCCCATCACGTGCTGGGCCAGTGCTGGGCTTGGAGGTGGCGGGAAGAAGGCTGGACGCAGGCTCACCTCACGGCTTGCAGAGAACCTGCCTCCCTCCTGGCCCTGCCTGGCTGCATCAAGCAGCAGCTGTGAAGACAGGGCAGGCAGGCTCCCCTACCAAGACTCAGCCCTGGGCATCTGGTCCCTCCCCGCAGGGCCACCCGCTGAGGAGAAGCCTTTAGCTGAGACAGGCCCCAATTCCTGCGCCTTCCGGCAGGGGCACCTGCACCTTTCTGTAGAATGGACGGAGCACGGTGCATGTGTCAGTGAGCCCTGCCCGTCAGCACTGGCTTTGATGCAGTCACCACAAGCGGCATGAAAGGCCCTGCTCAGCCGTCACATTTTCAGGTTCAGAACATTCCCCCAGGGCAGGAGAAACGACGGGAGCACGGGGCCCCACGCTGGCTCGGGCAGCCTATGGTCTGCTCACTCTCCACCCTGTGTGTCACACATGAGGAAACCAGGGCCTGCCCTCTGCCCACCACCAGCCTTGTCCTGGTGGCCAGCGGAGCCGCTGAAGCTCTGGGCTGAGAACAGAGGATGGCAGAGGACCATGAGTGGCCATAGTCACGGGGACACAGGCTGGCTGGCGCAGGCTTCTGGGGAGTGCCCAGTGCATGCAAGCTGCGTAACTGTCCGGCTCTCTCACTTTGCTTTTAAGTGAAAAAATATCTGAAGAAATAAAAATCACCAGATGACTTCCAGGAGTAATGGAGATACGTGGCCACACTGTGGACCCGCTGCCTGGGACGCAGTTCAGTGCACCTGCCAAGATGCCCTGTGAATGGAGTATAGCCCTGCGCCAGGCTGGCAGCAACCCAGGCCAGGCTGTGGCTGCGGTGGGATCAGAAGGGGGCTCCCATGAAGCAGAGACCCAGGAGGGGTCTGAAGGGGGCTCCCATATGACAGAGACCCAGTTGGGGTCCGAAGGGGGGCTCCCATGAGGCAGTGACCCAGGAGGGGCCACGCGTGGGGTCAGCAGGGGGCTCCTGTGCAGCAGTGATCCAGGCCAGGCCACGCATGGGGTCAGCAGGGGCTCCCGGGCAGCAGTGAGTCAGCCTTTATTGCACAGCAGAGCTGCAGCACTGAGACCTAGGCCAGCTTGAGGCACTGGGTGTTGAAGCTGTCCCCTTCCTTGCCGGCCACGGCCTCGAGCAGGCCCTGCTTCTTCTGCACGCTGCGCGAGGACTCCAGCTCGTACATGGTGGTCAGGTTGAAGAGGACGCTCTCGTGCAGGTACTGCCGGGGGTCCTGCTGGACCATGGCCTCCAGCTGCCGCAGGGAGTCCTTGAGCTTGCCCAAGTAGAGCAGGCACACGGCAGCATTGTTGTTGGCCTGGATGGGAGCACGTGCGCAGGTCACAGGTCATGTCCAGCGGCTCCCCTGATACCTCTGTGGCTGCCAACACAGGTGACCTGTGGTCTCTAGTGTCACAATGGGCAGCGGGCTGGGGGTCCAAGGCCCTCAACACACAGCCCACAGGGACCTCCCCCGACCCTGACACAGCCCACCGGGACCTCTCACCCCGGATGCAGCCTGCGGTGACCTCCCCCGACCCTGACACAGCCCACCGGAACCTCTCACCCCGGATGCAGCCTGCAGTGAGCACCCCTGACCCTGACACAGCCCCCGGGGGTCTCACCACAGCGTTGGTCGGGTCCATCCTCAAGATCTCAGTGAAGAACCTGTGGGCTTCGGCGAAGTTGTTCTGCCCCAGATGCAAGAATGCTCTGAAACGGGCCACGGGCAGAGTGTGAGTCTTTCATCAGGGGAAACATGTTAGGATGCTGGGTGGGGCCCCCTAAACCAAGGGGGCCTCAGGAACGGCATGACAGCAACACGGTCCCTCCATCAATGCCGGACCCATGCTAGCAGACAGGTGGTCAGGGGTGCCACGTCGGGCTGCCCACCATCAGTTCAGGCTTGCCTGCTGAGCCACACCCACCCCAGTGACCTGAGGCCGTGCTTTGTCCTTCCTGACGCTATACGTGCAGAGTTGCACATCGGTGGCCCAATTCTTCTACAACATCATCTCAGGCACCAGAGCTTACGTGCAGGGCAGGGCTGTGTGTGCAGGGCAGAGCTGTGTGCAGGGCAGGGCTGTGTGTGCAGGGCAGGGCTGTGTGTTTGGGGCAGGGCGGTATGTACAGGGCAGGTCTCTGTAACACAGAGCTGTGTGCAGGGCAGAGCTGTGTGCATTGCTAATCTGGAGAACGCAGGGACTCTAACAAGCCATCTTTCAGACTTGCGAGGCCCTGAGCCCCTGCATCCTACACGTTCTCTCTGCCAGGAAGTTGCACGGAGGCTCTTTACCAAGTGGTCAGCTTAAACATATTTACCTGTTCATCAGAACCATTATTTTGCCCTGCAGTCCATCCAACTTCTGTGTTACTTTCTCAACATCTTGGAAATACTTCTCAGCAGTTTTAATGTCTCCGATCTGCATGGACGAAGAGAGGTGCGGTTAGCTGCCAGGTGGAGGGGAGCTGGCCTCCCGTGTCTGGCTTAGCTGGGGATGCCAGGAGGCCCTCGGTGGTCAGGGCTCTGTGGAGGGCACGGGGCATCCAAGACATGTGTAAGAAAGCAGGTCTCATGGCTTGGTAAGGTTAAGGCTTGAAAATTGATGCTGGCAGGAATCAAATGGAATGAATGATTCCACAGACAACAAAAACTGTATGAAAAATGTGGATATTTTGTGGTGGCTCCAACTCAGTCTTACTGGGTATAAAACCCCAGGCCCGTCATGGTTGTCGCCAAGTGGAACACATGGACAAGGATGTCCTGGCTGTCCCTGCCGCCCTCCTCCTGTCCAGACTTGAGCCCCCTGAAGCCCAGGTTCCCCCACGGCTCAGCTGGTACATGTGGCCAGCCCCCGCCCTCAGGGTGCACGCGTGGATGTCCGGCCGTGTGTGCTTGCCGCCATGGTCTCGGTGTGTCTGTTCCCGTCAGTTCATTCCCTAAACAGCCGCAGTAGCAGCGGCTGGGCCACAATGAAGCCGGAAACCCCAGTGGGGCATCCCCTTTGGGTGACAGGACCCCAAGCACCTGGGCCGCCACAAGCTGCTTTCGCAGGCAGGAACTGGCCCGGAAGTGGAGCCTGGACTCAAGAGGGGATTCTGACACGGACACTGGCTTCAAAGGGCAGCTGTACCTGCTGTGCCACACTGTGGACCCCGTCCTGATCACACCGCTGAGAAGCTGGACTGGTCAGTCTCCGACACTCACTCCCAGCCCCCAGCCCACCTCGCGCTGCATACACCCCTCAGCATGGGGGCACGGGGGCTGCCCGCAGCCAGTCCCAGTGGGAAGTAATGGGGAAGCCCTGGCATGTTCTTTGCCAGTCACAGGTTTCCCAGGGATTAGGAAGTTTACATCTTCATAATTATTCAAACATAATTAGGATTTAAAATCCTCCTGATTTCTAAGAGTTAAAGGCAGGTATAAACAATATAAAAAGGGAATTTCAAAGCATTATAGAAAACACACAGAACAAACAGTGGTGGCTGGAAAGTGGCAAGTGAATAAAGCAGTCGGGGTGGTGGGGGGAGAGGCGGCCTGAGCAGGCAGGGCTAGCCCGTGAGAGATGTTCCAAGGTGGAACAGCAGGGAAGCAGCGGGGCCGAGTGGGGACAGAGGGAGCCAAGTGCTGAGCCGCGCGCTGGGCCACCCGCCGGCCCGGGCAGTGGCTGTCTCAGAGCAGTGAGCAGGGAACACCGACTCACTCCACAGGCACGCCAGCACGCCTGCAGGCCACACTCACACACAGGGCAGAGCCCTGGAGACACCTCCGGGCGCTGTGCCCTGCTGGGCTGCCCTGCGCCACATAGACCTCTGCGGCTTCCACAGCTTCGTGAGCCTGCGCTCAGCTTTTGCCCACCTCTGCCCAGGCTGGAAACACAGACGCCCAGATGGCCTGGTCTCTGAGCTGATATGCAGGGGCCCCCGGCAGAGCTCTGCGCCTAAGGGCCTCTATGCAGGGCAGGGAAGCAGACTTGAATTTGAAACTGGATCCCAGGTGGCCCTAGTCAAGGAAGGGGATCTTTGCCAACTTGTAGAGGAGACGGCAGGCCCTGGTGGCTGCGTCACCACGTGGTATGCAATCCTATGTGACCGTGGTGCAGGTGTCCACACCAGCTAGAGGACCCTGAGCCCTTCCTTGCTGTGCAGCACTGGCGGTGGCACCATTACAGAAGGCTGACTGAGACAGGACCCTGGCCCTGGGGGCGCTCTGGGGACAGGTTGTGCCAGGTCCAGTTCTGCACACGGTGGCCGGGCTCTTGTGAGCACCAGCATGCCCTTGACATGTCCAGCGAGAGGTCAACGCCAGCCCTGCCCCGCTAGGAAGCACGTCTCCCGCTGCCACGGACAGATGCTCAGAGCCGTCACTCAGCAAGATGACACGGACCTGACTGTATGCCCCCAGTGCCCCAGACCTGCTGTCCCCAACACCCCAACAGCCACCGACGGGCGCTCAGCACCGGCAGCCCTGCCCCACCCGGCCAGCTTCTCCTGGCGGCTTAGTATGGTTTACACTTATTTGAAAGACAGAAATAGACAGACAGATGTCGTCTATCCACTGGCTCACCCCACAATGACCACGACAGCTGGCTCAGGGCCGGGCTGGGCCAGCAGCCAGCACTCCATCCCAGCCTGCACGTGGGTGACGGGCCCACGCACTAGGGCTGACTTGGGCCACCTTCCAGGTACACAGTAGGAAGCTGGACCAAAAGCAGGGCAGTTGGGACTTGAACCAACACTCTGACAAGGCATGCGCACGGTAAGCAGTGGGTTAACCACTGGCCAAGGGGCAGCAGCTCCAGCTGCCAGGAGGCCTTTCAAGTGGGAGCCAGGAGACTTCCACCCCTCAACACCATGACCGGTGCCCTCAGCACAGACTTGGGGGCACTGGGTCTCTGGTGTGATGGGTGTGTGGCACCTGGTCCGAGCCTTCACAGTGGGTATTGCTGCAGGACTATGCCATGTGGTGAAAGCCTGGCTGCAGAGCTTGGCAGTGCCCAGCTCCCGGGCCCACCCGGCAGCTCTGGGCATGTGACCCTTCAGCCCACTCCTTCTGTGTGCCACCAGCCGGTGGGCTCTCTTTCCTCCCCTGCAGAGGCCCCCCAGCGTGTCAGCAACAACGCTGCTGCACTAGTTCTCATGGAATCCACGCCTGCCTCCGAGGCACCTGGGGTGTGGGCACCACTGCTTTCCTTCCGTCCAGCTCCAGCACCCCCCAGCAGGGCCCACATGGGGCTAGTGGCAGATGCCCAGAGTGCTCATGGGGGCACGACACGGAGATGACTGGCAGTGACCGTTCCAAGTTGAACAGACTGCCGCCTGCTGCCCAGGGGCGCCAGAGGCTCACTCGGAGCACGCCCCTCCAGAAAAAAGCCAGGAGCTGCTCTGCTGTGCCCGCGCAGGGGGAGCCCACGGGGCTGCCTTCCTGTCATCCCAGGCCCCTCCCTCCCCGCCCTCGCCTTTCCCCGCTGCCACTGTAAGTGCTCCCCAGGGCTGCTCCACCTGGCGCTGGCAGTGCTGGGTGGGATGTCAGCCAGGCGACAGCAGCTGTTCTCTGCTCGCCCCCACCTGCGTCCAGCGGCCTGGCTCTGTGCTCTGCACCCCAAGCTCTGGGCAAGGGGAGGGCACACTCCTGTGTGTGTGTGTGTGTGTGTGTGTGTGTGTGACACTGAGGGACCAGGAGAGGGGCAGGGCTGTGTGTGTGTGTGTGTGTGTGTGTGACACTGAGGGACCAGGAGAGGGGCAGGGCTGGGTGTGTGTGTGTGTGTGTGTGACACTGAGGGACCAGGTGAGGGGCAGGGCTGGGTGTGTGTGTGTGTGTGTGAGTGACACTGAGGGACCAGGTGAGGGGCAGGGCTGGGTGTGTGTGTGTGTGTGAGTGACACTGAGGGACCAGGAGAGGGGCAGGGCTGTGTGTGTGTGTGTGTGTGTGAGTGACACTGAGGGACCAGGTGAGGGACAGGGCTGGGTGTGTGTGTGTGTGTGTGTGTGACACTGAAGGACCAGGTGAGGGGCAGGGCTGTGTGTGTGTGTGTGTGTGTGTGTGCGCGTGTGTGAGTGACACTGAGGGACCAGGAGAGGGGCGGGGCTGAGTGCGTGTGTGTGTGTGCGCGTGTGACACTGAGGGACCAGGTGAGGGGCGGGGCTGGGTGCGTGTGTGTGTGTGTGTGTGTGACACTGAGGGACCAGGTGAGGGGTGGGGTTGGGTGTGTGTGTGTGTGTGTGTGTGTGTGACACTGAGGGACCAGGTGAGGGGTGGGGTTGTGTGTGTGTGTGTGTGTGACACTAAGGGACAAGGTGAGGGGCAGAGCTGGGTGTGTATGTGTTTGTGTGTGTGTGTGTGTGACACTGAAGGACCAGGTGAGGGGCAGGGCTGTGTGTGTGTGTGTGTGTGTGAGTGACACTGAGGGACCAGGTGAGGGGCAGGGCTGAGTGCGTATGTGTGTGTGTGTGCGCACGTGTGTGTGTGACACTGAGGGACCAGGAGAGGGGCGGGGCTGTGTGTGTGTGTGTGTGTGTGTGTGTGTGTGTGTGTGTGTGTGACACTGAAGGACCAGGTGAGGGGCAGGGCTGGGTGTGTGTGTGTGTGTGTGACACTGAGGGACAAGGTGAGGGGCAGAGCTGGGTGTGTGTGTGTGTGTGTGTGTGTGTGTGTGTGTGTGTGTGTGTGACACTGAGGGACCAGGTGAGGGGTGGGGCTTGGTTGGCTGGAGACGCACAGGGGACCTTCTGTGACACCTGACAAGTGGGCTGACCACAGTGTACACCAGGTACAACCGCGGTGCTTGTCTGGGTCTCCCGGATGGGGCCTCACCTGACAGGCGTGTGAAGGAGGTCCCCTGTGGACACTAGCGCCCATGCAGCCTCGCCTGAGCTGTTGGGCATAGTGGTGGGTGGGTCCCGGTGTGCAGTGTGGTCGGCCAGGTCTGCCCTCGTTGTCTTCCCTGACTTTAGCAGTGAGGATGGATGGCCGGGGGTGGTGGCAGAGCTAGCACAGGGCCCGTGTGGGTGCAGGGGAGCCCACGAGTCAGATCTGCAGGGCTGGGTGTGTCAGACAAGACTGGGTGTGCACCGAGTTCTCATCCCAATGTGTGCAGAGAAAGATTCTGCTGCTGTGGCAGCCCAGGGCGAGCTGCCTTGTGAGCTGGCTGGCCCAGCCTGCAGGAACACCTGGCAGCCAGGAGGCTGCGCAGCTGGCAGGATCCCCTCTCCTGTAGGCTGCACCGTCAGCCTCACAGCTTGGCTCGGCCAATGGCAGCTGCTCCCGGCCCAGGGTGTCCGCCTGGGAAGCCTGCCCACAGTGGCCTGCGTGGGTCCCAGGGAAGCACTGATGGCGGCACCACAGGTCAAGTCACCTGTGAGGTGCACTTCCTGCTGTGTGTGCTGAGACGGGACGGGACGTCAGTTCTGCTCGCTCTGCTAGGAAGCAGGGCACTGTGCGAGCATCGCTCTACTGCCCCTCCACCGTCTGTGCTTGGGCCACCTGGCAGAGGCGGGTCTCTCTTATGGGGTCCCAGGATTGTCAGGATCGCAGCACCCCCTGAACGAGAATCATCATCAGATGCAAGCAATGATGCAGGTGAGACTGCAGGTGCGACGCGCTGCAGCTGTGGTGTAGCCCACAAAGCCTCTGCCTGCACCGCCAGCTTCCCAGAGGGTACTGGTTTGAGTCTTGGCGCTCCACTTCCCAACCAGTGCCCGGCTGATGGCTGAGGAAGCAGTGCAGGGTGGTCCAAGTGCTTGGGCCCCTGTGTCCATGTGGGAGACTTGGGGAAAGCTCCTGGATGCTGGCTTTGGACTAGTGCAGCTCCAGTCGTGGCCATCTGGGCAGTGAACCAGTAGCTGGAAGATTTCTCTCTCCCTCTGTAACTCTTTCAAATAAACAGCAGTAAAGCAAACATCTAAAATATTGCTTCCTTGGACACTCAGGAGCACCTCCTCAGCCGACACTGATGACAGCAGAGCAAGTCTCTGAGGCTGTGGATGGGGCAGCCGAGATGCCCCGTCCCTGGGGCACCCTCAGATCCCCCGTCCCTGGGCCACCCTTAGATCCCAACCAAGCAGACAGAAGCCACCCCAAGGGCAGTACCGAGGATCACCACCGCAGCCAGAGCCAGGGCTTGGGGGTCCTGGAAGGATGCACAAGAGGCCTCCCGGGCCAGGGCTTCCTTGGCTGGCATCCATAAGCAGGCAAGGAGGGGGTGGGGATGTATGTTCACACACATGAATGTGTGTGACATGGAGCGAGCAGGAGAAGGCTAATTGGAAGCATCAAGTTCCTACTGCACTGCTCCTGGGGCTTGCCCAAGCAGCCTGGCACCACAGCACACAGGGCCTGGCTCCTGGGACCTGCCCAGGCAGCCTGGTATCAGGGCACATGGGGTCTGGGTCCTTCTAGCACCAACTGCCCATGGCCCAGGTCAGGGACAGTGTTAGCAACCTCAGGGGATTAACATGGGGACGGAGCTGCCACATACCCTACCTACAGAGACAGTGAGCACCCAACATGGGCCTGACAGATGAGGAGGGGAGCTTCATGCCCATGAGCAGCCTGGGAAATACATCCTCGAATCCATGGCATTCCTGGCAGAGGATACAGGCAGTTCTCCACATCACTGCGCCTGACCCCTGCCCAGCACAGGTGCGTGTAGGTGTCACTGGTTCTCAGAGACACCAGTTCAATGACCCAGTTCTCAGTAGGTCATGTTGAGTCCTCCTGTCCAATCCACTTGTCACCCCCAGCCATGGCCAGCACTTGCCCTTTCCATGCGCCTGTAGTGAGCAGTGCAGCCTCCCACCCCTGCCAGGGGCTTCCTGCTCCCGTCAAAGCAGAACCCGAAACACCAAGTGCATCCCTGACTGCTCACACACAAGAGCGCACACTGGGATCAGCTCCAAAGGCACCTGCAGGAAGATCCGGCCGATGCCGCTCAGCAGCTGCGGCTCCTGCTCCGGGTGGCACTTGGCGACCGAATGGTAGGCATCCACAGCAAGCACGTAATCCTGAGGGAAGAGAAGGAACAGAGCTGCAGCTGCCCTTGGTGTCGCCAGGACTCATGCAGGGAGGGACACGTGGGCGCCTGGGGGCCGCGGCCAGATCCTGAGCCGGGGCAGCTAGCACAATGGCATCCTGTCGCCCGTGCTACACTGCTGCCCTCCCGTCTTCCTGACAACGTGGCAGAGGGGACAAGCATTGCCACCCTCCACACACACAAGCCACCGGGTCTCTTAGTTCAACATTCTCCCTATCAGAAACCAAGGTTGCTCAAGGTCGCACATGAGCCACGCACCGAGAGACAGAGACCAAGCAGCCACTTGGAGGTCACCCTGACGGGGGTCATTCAGAGCCCCCGCTGTGCTCCCTCTGCCAGGCTGTACCTGACTTTGGCATCTCTCACGGGGGGGGGGGCTCAACCATCTGCCCCGCACCAGGGTCTGGCTGCCCATCCGAGGGGAGGAGACTCTACATCCACAGATAACTGGCAGAGCCAGTCTTGCAGGGGCCTGCCAATCATGGGGGCCCTACCCATCACAGGGGTCGGTCCTGCCAATCACAGGGGCCTGCCACCACAGGGGCCTGCCCATCACAGGGGCCTGCCCACCCGGAGTCGTCTGAGGATCAGGCTCCTGCACTGTCTTCCCTAGCTTCCATCGCAGGATCCTAGAGAGGGCTCTTGCTCCTTGCATTTTCAGTTTCTCTGGGCTTGCTAATTGGGGTGTTGGAGGCAGACAGCAGGCAAAGCACTAGCTCAGCAGGAACAAAGACAGGAAGTCTCTGTGGTCCAATCCCTCCCTGTCAGCTCATTAAACCCAATTTCATCTCAAACCTGATGCTCCCCAGGGCCGGGCAGCATTGGCCAGTTTCCTGGCCCACAGCCTCCTGCCACCAGGCACTGCCACCTGGGTTTGCACACACCATGAGGCAGCTGGCCCCTGCTGGGGAGGGCCATGCACTCAGGCCGGGCACTGGTCTGGGTCCTTCTTTGAGACATTGCTTGGGATGGGACCATTCCCCAGGCTGTGCCCAGCTCCAGGGGCTGGCAGCAGCCTACCCAGACCTCTTCAGGAGTGGAGGGCATGGCCCCCAGAGCGTCAGGCCGACACAGGGTTCTGCTACCCTCCCTTAAGTGGTAATGGCCACACTGGGTGCAGGTTCTCCGATCTCAACCTGTGAGGCACTAATAGCGCTAGGGTCCCGGGCTGCTGAGGTGGCCTGGGTGGGAGCTGGGGCACAAGGGGGTGCTGGCTGCCACTGTGTCAAGGGCTGGGAACCAGTGTTTCTAAGGGTGACCTTGGGACAAAGCCAACTAATGACCTGAATGTGAAAAGGCCCTGGGAGCTGCCAGGTTCCCATGCTAATCTCCTGGGAGAAAGCTCCAGGGGGAGGGAGTGCAGGCTCCAGAACCAGTAAGGCAGCTGGATTCTGGACCAAAGGACCCTGGGAGAGGGACCAAGGGGGCAGATGAGGGGAGGGACCAGGAGAGGGACCACAGGGGAGGGACCACAGGGTCTGCAATGCTAGCAGCCTCCACAGGGACTCAGCCACGGCTGGGACATGGACATGTGCCTGGAGGTGGACGTGGACCCAGCCATCACATGGCCCAGACGGGAATGAAGGACTGTGCTGGAAGACCTCTGTGCCATTTTAAGAGGGTACAGGAACCAGCCCCTCTTCGAGCTGTTGGAGCTCAGCCCAGGTCATGGCCCCTAGCATCCCAGAGCCCTCCTCCACCTCCTGGCAACGGCTGGGTCCTGGCCCTTCCTGTGTGAGCAGGGATCAATGCAGTGGAGTCACGTGGAGAGGGCCCCCTTCCAGCCACGCTCAAGTGGCCGGCCAGCAACGGGCAAGCACAATGGCTTTGTAACAGACAGTGATGCTTCCCGGTCTACTATGCAAGTGTCGGGCTGAAAACCAGGACGACTTCTCTCCACCGCAGTGGACATGCTGTTCAAAACACTAAAGGGGCTGACTCAATAGCCCCAGCATTCTCCCCCAGATATTTAATTCAGAGGGTACCCCCCTCATTCTAAGCACCTCTGCAATACCGCACATGCTCACTAGATGGCAAAAGAACGCATGCGTTGGGATAAGCCTTAATTGCAAAAATTTTTCACTCCCTTTTTTAAACTCATGAAAATGGAAGATTAAGCTGAACTTTCTAATTAAATTACATCCATTGTGCAAGTATTTCTCAGATACAAGAATATGCTGGGTATAGAGCCTCACCAAGACAGAAGCCTTAGTGGGCCTAGCGTTAGCCGCACAACAAAGAAAACCATCGCGATCCCACTGATGTATCTTTAAAATGCAAATAAACCTACGAGCAAACAGGGTTAGCCTTACGGCTCACGAAAGGCCGGTTCTGTGAATATGCTGTGCCCTTTGTTGCTGGCATAGAACCTTCTGGCAAGTGGTGAATTTCTAGGGATGGAGGGGTGGCTGGTGTCAGGCAACTTCGCCATAAAGGAGCTGCACAGCCAGGTGGGACTGCAGGCAGAACGTTCTGGGAGGTGCAGTGGGAGGAACCCAGCGTTTTGGGGTGCCCTGGTCACAGCCACAGCGAGGGTGAGAAGACAGCAAGCAGCGTAAGGGGGACATCGGGAGGCTTGTGGGAGGACATGGGGCGGGAGGCGCGCTCGGAGGCAGCAGCCCCGCCTCCCGCCTGTGCCCTTGTCTGCGTGAGCAAGGGCAGGAGGCTGCACGGGGTCACACGCCACAGAGCTCACAGGCCACGCTCAGCTGGCCCTTGCAGAGGCCCCTTGCATCCCTGCGGCAGCCTCCCTGGGTTGTTGAAGGACAAGGTCTAAGCCAGGGCTGCCACATCAAGGGTAAACAGCAGCCCCACCCCCACTGAACTGCCAGCTTCCTGAGCTGGAAATCCAGCTCCCAAATGACCTTGGGCGGCTCAAGGCCAGCCAGTGTGGGAGGAGTCCCGGTCTCTGAACAGCCCGGAAGGCGTCGGCAGCGCTGTGCCCGGGCGCCCACTGCTAATTGATTTCTGCCGCAGCTCCACGCAGGACGCCTGTGCCCAGGGAGGGGAGGAGCGGCGCGCGGTGCACTTCAGACAAAGAGCGCGGGGAGGGGCCGGGCTCAGCCTCGCCGCCCGGAGCCTGGTGGGGGTGGGGCTGCTCAGAAAGAGGACACGTGTGGGGAGTCGGTCTTGAGCTGTCACCAGGATCTGAGGACTCAAGGCCAGGACAGGGAGAACAAAGGACACCACTCTGGGATGGATGCGGAGAAAGGCAGGGAGTGTGTGTGTGTGCGTGCGCACGCGCATGAAGGGCGGTTTTCATCAACTCATTCAGACCACGTCCACACAATGAAATTGGGGCAGTGCTCTCCATTCTGCTGAAATCCCTTTCCACAGCTCCCCCCGCCGCGTGTCCCCGCGCTCCCTGGGTCCCCCGCCGCGTGTCCCCGCTCTCCCCGGGTCCCCCGCCGCATGTCCCCGCGCTCCCTGGGTCCCCCGCCGCGTGTCCCGCCCGCGCACCTTCATCAGCAGCAGACAGTTGGCCACGGAGTATGTCACCCGGCCCAGGCGTGCCCGCCACAGCTGCAGGGAGGCTGCAAGACAAGGGCATGGATGCAGGCAACCCAGGCTCCCGCCAGTCGGCACCAGTGGCCGCAGCCAGAATACCCAGTGTGCCTGGGCTCGCTGGGGACAGCCGCGGGGGTGATCTGGGCCAGGATGAGCGGAGCAGCCTCCTGCAGCAAGGTCTGGGTTGGGTTCTGAGGTGTAAGAGGGCTACTGCCCTGGGCAGGGCATCCCAGCTGCACGTCAGGCGCTGTGGTCAGGGGTCACTTGCTCTCCTGCCCCTCCCGTAACACTCCTGGGCCTGGGCCTGGCTCCAAGCCCCTGCGGCAGGGCCTAGGCCTTGCCATGTACCGGAAGTGGCCTCCCAGCGGAGGGGCCTATGTCTGCACTGACGTGTTCTACAGCGAATGTGCATGAGCAGCGCAGCAGCCTGTCCGACTGGCTCAGGGACGATGAGCACTCCCCCAGCTGCACCCGCGCACCTTGCCTGTTCTCTTGGGTCATGTTGCTCACACCCCCGTCCTCTGCCAGGCCTTGTTCCAGGTTGCTCAGGATCTGCAACGGATCACATGAGAACAGCATGGTCACCAAGACGTAGCCGCGAACGCAGACAGAAGCTCGTGTGGCTGAAGCTGACACCCCTGCTGCCAGGAGGTGATGGCGACGGTGAGACATGGCTTCAGCCCCCCGCCGCCTGAGCAGCCTGTTCCACGGCAAGGGGGAAAGCAGACCCACTTCTGAGTTGGTGTCAGCGGCAGGCCAGGAGTGGCTGGCTGTCAACATGCAGAACCTCAGCCCAAGTGCCGTGTGCCAGTGCCCCCAGCACAGCCGCAGCCTGGTGTGGCTAGGTCAATCCCCACCAGAACCAGGGCAGGGGAGGGGACAAAGAACCCCTGCAAAGAAGCAGTGGGTGGCTAGGGAGCTTGGAGTTGCGAGCCTGCACAGATGGCTCCATCCTGCAGTCGGTGCTGAAGGTCATGAACAGTTGGATAGTGCAGCCAGGGCAGAATGAACACCGGGGGGGCCCAGGTCTACCACCCCCATGCTCAAGAGCAGCCAGTGCTGCAGAGGATGTCTGCATGCCCCTGGGCACCCAAGGCTGGCAGGGGACCCATGATCCCAGGACACGGAACCTCAGCCTGGTGGGCTCAAGAGGGGACAGAGTGCCTGCCGCATGACAGGTGGGGGAGAGAGTAGGTACTGCAGGGAGAGGAGGAGCGTCTCCCCACGGCAATGCCAGCGGCACAGAAGCCCGACTCCAGCTGAGGCACCAGACGCAGAGGAAAGGCACGGCAGCACCCACTTGTCCCCCATCTTTGCTCAGGCCCACAGCCAAGCCTTCATCATCTGCTTTCTTGACATGTGTCTTGGCAGGTGTGGAGGTAAGAGGCCAGGATGCCATCGGGCCACAGCCTGCCTTCTATGGAGGTCGTGGTGCGGCCCAAGTTTCGCAGCCCCACCAGACAGCCCGGTTTCTGCTGAGCCCAAACACTCCTGCAGCAGCTGCCATGTGCTGGGCCAGTGAGCGTGTCAGTGTCAGCTCCTGAAGTGGCCCCAGGAGGGGTCCTGTCCCCAGGGGCGTTGGTGCCTGCAGCCTCCGAGCCAGCTCCCTCCCCGCTGCAGGCAGCTGGCAAGGAGGACGAAGCCCGAGGATTCACGGCGGGGTATGGGTGGCACTGGGCCCCACACGCAGCAGCAGAGACACGGGTGAAGGCCAGGTTGACGAAGCTCACGTCCCGCGAGCCCAGCTGTCACTCTGCAAACTTGATGCTGATAAGCGCACAGTAGGGGCAGAAATGACAAGGGAGTAGATTTGCAGGACCTCCAGGTGCTCGCTCCTTCGCGGGAATGTGGGATCTGAAGCACCGGCCTCAGTCTTGAGCAGGAACCCTGGGGTGCCCGCGGACCTGGCATGATAATGGGGGTGGCCAGGCTTCACCCCCAGCTCTGGCTCTGCCAGAGCTCCCAGGGGCTGGAGAAAACGGCCTGCAGACTTCCTTCCCAAGGCAGGGAGCTGGGCTCCTGGCCAGGGTGATGGGCCCGCAATGGCCTGTAACCCTCTTCATAGCAGCCCCGTCTCCCACACAAGCAGGGGAGTGGTGACTCCGTGAATGGAAGCTGGTAGGGGTGATGTGGGCCTCCCAGCCTCAATTTCCACCCATGTAGGGGTCAGCTGCCTACTGCAAGGATGGTCAGGAACCTGGCAGGCCCCGAGGCAGGCCAGGAATGTGGCATCCGACCAAAAGAGCCCGGAGCCCCAGCTGCGTTGAAGTCAGGACCTCAGGAGCCTGGCATCCCCAGTAGCCCCGAGCACCCCACTGCCTGAGCAGCCCTGTGAGGGCGTGGTCTGTCCTGCTTCTGCTGCCCACGGGCCGGGAACGCAGCCCAGCACTGCTCATCCAAGGCCCCCGGCTCTGCTCAGGGAAGAGCAGCGGAGGTTGCTTCCTCCACTGAAAACAACGGCTTCATTGCCATGGACAGCAATGGCCAGCCTGGGAAGAGGCTGCCGGGAGGAGTCGGTGACAGGAGCCATGGCTAAGTGAGCCGGGGGGGGTCCTGGGCTGGACAGGCCCACTTCCACGAGGCACGCAGCTCGGGACACCTGTCCCCAGCACAGGAGGGCAAGAGGAGACGATTTTGTTTCATTCAAGGAGACATGCCATGCGTGAATGCGCCAGCTGTGTGAGTTCACGTATGACCAGGAGTAGCTGCGAAGGCCGCCTTGACCTCTGCAGTGGTCAAGCGGCCCGCTGGACTATGAGCAGGAGTGTGTGGGGGGGGTGATGGGCCGTGTCCTGCGCCCTGTATGGAGGAGCCTGTGTTCTCATGGTGACTGTCCCGGTGGGGCAGGCTTTACTTACACACACCAGTGTAGACTGCCAGGAGGTCAGCACTCGGCCAGGGACTGGGCAGCATGCCTCTGGAAGGAGCGCTCTGGAGGGAAGTATGTTCCTGGAGCTGCTCCAGGCCACTTAAGGGATTACTCAGTGCAATCCTGGCCGCGCACCAGGCCAGCTGGGTCACCGTCTGCAGCACCAGCCGCTGCTCTCGGCAGCACGGGCAGGGGTACGCAGTGTTACCACAGAGAGGGCTGAACAGCGCCTCAGGTGTGGCCAGACTGTGTGCCTGTCTGCAGCACTGACCACCATGGGCGCTGGACAGCGTCTTCCAGGCTCTGCATCCTGAGGACATACTCTCCCTTCCCCTCAAACTGGAGACTGACACTCCAGTGCTGCAGAACAAGGCAATGCAAGCCGGACATGAGGACTTCCTGCAGCGAGGGCCCACTCCCCTCACTTCAGGGCCACAAGGGTCCAGGCGGGGCTGCAACTGCCCAGAGGGACTCTCAACAGCACAACCCAGAGGTTCCCAAAGGGCAAAATGGCCCCTGAGAGCTGAGCCTAGATACAGAGCTTGCAGCCGCAGGTGACAAGGGTGCCCTGATGGTCAATGGTGACCACAGCTTCTGTGGCAGGCATCGGTCGCTTCCAGCAGCACGTCACTCGGTGGCACAGTGCGTATCTGTGGCCTCGAAGGTGTGGGCAGGCACCAACCTCGTGCAGCCCTGAACTGCTCCCCTCCCCCATCAGGGAGGAAGCAGCAAAGTGGGGTGACTGAGCCCTGGCGGGGCTGGGTGAGGTGCCCGTGTGCAGTCCAGCTCTCTGCAGACACGGCCTGCTGTGTGGTCCAGCACTGCACAGTCACCTTGCACGCCAGCAGAAGGCTACGGCAGCTGGGCCCGGCAGTGTGTGTTTACTCTCAAGCAGAACGCGCATGTGTAATGTAATCTCTTATGGCAGAAATCCTTTTCAGAAAGACACTGGCCCTTCCTTGAGACACATTTCTCCCTTCGATCTGATGAGTAACCCTCCACGGACAAGCACACCACCATGGCCTGTGTGCCAAGGTCAATTTCCGGCTAGAACCAGGGCGCAGAAGGCACAGATGCAGCCCTCCTGTGGCCGGCAGCTGCCGTGAGCCCTGACACACTCCAGGAGGCCCATAGCCAGGCTTGCTGGGGGCTGCTGGAGGTGGCAGAAGTATACCAACTGGGCAAACCTGCTTATGGACACACCTGTTCTGCAGATCTGGGGCCCAAAGCTGGGCCAGTCCTGCAGGGCCTGTGTGGAGGGAGCAGGCCAGAGGCGAGGAGGCACCTGCCCTCCCGGCAGCGAGGGTGCTGGTTTCTCTGAGTGTGGCTTGCTTAGGTCAAACTGAGGCATAGGCTGTTCCTCAGCCATACAATGCTAGCTGAGGCAAACCCTCACCAAGTCACTGGTGGTATGCCGGACGACCTGCTGAACTTCCCTGCAGCAGCCTGCTGGGGCCGGGCCCCTATGCTCTGACTGAAGGGCCACATGCACTTCTCACTGCTGCGCCCCTCTCCCACTTCATAGTACATGGCTCCCAGTGTGGCCAGACATATTCCTGGCAGCCACAAGAATGGCAGTCACTAAAACTTCTGGCACAGCCACAGTGGTGTCAGATCAAACTTCACAGCCACTGGTTATGAAGGTACCAGGTAGGAGAATGGACCAATGGCTTCTGCAGTGACCTGCAGAGGGCTGCTGAGTGGTGGCGGGGGTGATGATTCTGGGCCAGGCCACCAGCCGGGACCAGACCCCACCTCTGCCTCAGCACAGGAGTCCCTGGGGCAGAGTCTTCTGGCCCGGGAATCGGGGTAACAGAAGCTCGTCCCCCGCCACTGCCGGCACAGCAAGGGGAGGCGGTTCACGGGAAACCTTAAGCAGAGCACCCAGTACCCTTGCTGAGGGGGCCAGCACCATGGGGCTGCAGAGTGCTGGGCCACACAACAGGTCAGATCTGCTGGTCTATACGAGGTTCGGGGTAGGAGTGGAGAGCGCTCCACCTGCACAGGCAGGGGCAGTCATGCAGGAGCCGGTCTTGTCGAGATGGCCGTAGGTTTAGGACATTGCAAGGGTTTTCCTTGAGCTGTGAATGATCCAGAAAATCAATGTCAATGTTAGCTGGGCCAGGCCATGCGCTAGGAAGTCCAGCCAGAGTCCAAACTGTCAGACCATCCTCTGCTGCTTTCTCAGCTGCATGGGCAGGGAGCTGGAGTGGAAGTGGAGCAGCCACGGGTCAAACTGCAGTGCACAAGGGATGCCAGTACTGCAGGTGGTGGCTCCCCTGCTCCGTCTCAGGCCAGCCCCAGGCACAGTGACTTCCTCTGGAGTGGCTGGGGCTCCACTCCCCGCAGCGGCACGAGGCCCCCTTTCTCCACGTCTCTCCAATGTGCGCTCCTGCTGGTCCTCTAGAGGGCAGCCGCTCTCGCGTGGGCGACGTGACTTCTCACGGTGGTCTCACTCTGCATTGCCCTGATGGCAGCACGTGTGGCAGTGATGGCAGTCCGTGATGGCAGTCACGGAGCACGTGCGGGCATCTCCTGGCCACTTAGACTTCTTTCAGTGTGCTTTGTTCTCGAGGGAACCCACTTGGATGTGAGTAGACTTCCCGTTCTTCAGTCCCGGACGACTGCGATGTCTTGGAAAAGGGTGCAAGCTAACCATGATCGGGAGAGACGGGCAGTGCCCTCAGAGGCCTGCAGGAGCCCCTGAAGGCACCAGAGCCGAGGTGGAGGAGAAAGATTGACCACAGACCCTGCCCTGGGTCCTTCTCATCTGCTCGTTCCTGCAGCGTGGGTTAGTTCTCCGGGGGAGCTGCCAAGTGTTAACTTCACTCACACAGGAGCACACAGAATTAGTGAAACTGACCGAGAGCATCCTGTGGGGGAGACCCGCTCACTATCTCAGGTCCAGTGACTCATTTTCCTTACAGGATTAGAATCAATGCATCATGGCTCAATGGCTAAATCCTTGCCTTACACAGGCTGGGATCCCTCAGGAGCACCAGTTTGTGTTCCAGCTGCCTCACTTCCCTTCCAGCTCCCTGCTTGTGGCCTGGGAAAGCAGCCGAGGATGGCCCAAAGCCTTGGCACCCTGCACCTGTATGGGAGACCCACAAGAAGTTCTTGGGTCCTGACTTTGGCTCAGCTCAGCTCTGGCCTTTGTGGCCAGTTGGGAAGTGACCAGTAGATGGAAAATCTTTCTGTATCTCATTCTCTCTGTGATCCTGACTTTCCAATAAAAATACAGAAATCTAAAAAAAAAAAAAAAAAAAAAAGGACAACACCCTTTCTCAATGAACACCATGAGAAATACTGCCACCATTTGGGCTGTGCCATGAAAAGTTAGACAACTAACAATACAAAGCCTGGTGACTTGCTCCCATTTGCAGAGCAGGTGAGATGAAGGGACCAATCGCCCACAGCCACCGATGGGAGTCCCCAACAACTCAGATTCTCACCCCTCCATTGTGACTGTCCTAATTGTTCTGGCCTCCACCCACCCACTATACGCCATCAGTGGCCTGATCTCAGAAGGGCCCAGGCTGGGTGACCCTGCCTCCAGGGACCAGGTGGGAGACACCCTTACATTGGTCCCTCTCAGTTGACACTGGCAGTGCTGCCATAGGAAGATAGAGCAGGGGGACTGCCCTGGGAGGAAGAGCAAGTAGAGCTTCCTCATTACCAAAAGGACCCAGCACAGCACAGAGATGAGGATACGGGGAGCTAGGACCCAGCACACTGTACTAACAGCACAGAGATGGGGGATGGGGAGCTAGGACCCAGCACACTGTACTAACAGCACAGAGATGAGGATACAGGGAGCTAGGACTCAGCACACTGTACTAACAGCACAGAGTTGGGGATACAGGGAGCTAGGACCCAGCACACTGTACTAACAGCACAGAGATGAGGATACGGGGAGTTAGGACCCAGCACACTGTACTAACAGCACAGAGATGAGGATACGGGGAGCTAGGACTCAGCACACTGTACTAACAGCACAGAGATGAGGATACGGGAGTTAGTGCCCAGCACACTGTACTAACAGCACAGAGATGAGGGGACGGGAGTTAGGACCCAGCACACTGTACTAACAGCACAGAGATGAGGATACGGGGAGCTAGGACCCAGCACACTGTACTAATAGCACAGAGATGGGGGATGGGGAGCTAGGACTCAGCACACTGTACTAACAGCACAGAGATGAGGATACAGGGAGCTAGGACTCAGCACACTGTACTAACAGCACAGAGATGAGGATACGGGGAGCTAGGACCCAGCACACTGTACTAACAGCACAGAGATGGGGATACGGGGAGCTAGGACCCAGCACACTGTACTAACAGCACAGAGATGAGGATACAGGGAGCTAGGACCCAGCACACTGTACTAACAGCACAGAGATGAGGATACGGGGAGTTAGGACCCAGCACACTGTACTAACAACACAGAGATGGGGGGACGGGAGTTAGGACCCAGCACACTGTACTAACAGCACAGAGATGGGGGGACGGGAGTTAGGACCCAGCACACTGTACTAACAGCACAGAGATGGGGGGACGGGAGTTAGGACCCAGCACACTGTACTAACAACACAGAGATGGGGGGACGGGAGTTAGGACCCAGCACACTGTACTAACAACACAGAGATGGGGGGACGGGAGTTAGGACCCAGCACACTGTACTAACAACACAGAGATGGGGGGATGGGAGTTAGGGCCCAGCACACTGTACTAACAGCACAGAGATGAGGGGACGGGAGTTAGGACCCAGCACACTGTACTAACAACACAGAGATGGGGGGACGGGAGTTAGGACCCAGCACACTGTACTAACAACACAGAGATGGGGGGATGGGAGTTAGTGCCCAGCACACTGTACTAACAGCACAGAGATGAGGGGACGGGAGTTAGGACCCAGCACACTGTACTAACAACACAGAGATGGGGGGATGGGAGTTAGGGCCCAGCACATTGCATTACGGATCCCAGAGGCTTGGGCTGGGAACAGGAAGCACCTTAGGATCAGGAAACTGGCCTTGACCTCTTCAAATGACATGATATTTGCACCTGGCAACTGAGTCCAGTTACAGTCACTGACTTGTAACTTCTGCACACCCTGTTCTGACCATCAATGCACACCTTAACTGTGTCTCAAAGGTCAGGACACATGGGCACCACGAATTCCTGATCTACTGACCCACGTATAAGAGAAGAGAGAGCAGCTCCATACGTCTCTACATACAGTCCTGCTGGTCGAAGTGGAAGCAGAGCAGGGGACCCAGGCCTCCCATGATGTGTGTCCATGCTTGGGACCGCTCCTCACCCTCCACTGGGACCCCAGGCACACCATGACACTTCCCTAAGAACGGCCAGGGAGCGGAAGGAGACGTGGTAATCACAACCACGGTCTTGCACGGGCCAAGGCCGCGGCTGCTCACAGCTCTCTGCAACGTTTCCCTCCACAAACTTGGCAGTGCACGCTGGCCCTCAGCCTACCAGCGCCATGCGGCACAGGGGGGAGGTGGTGGCACCTGAGCCCCAGGCGGAGCGTCTTAGAGGATGGGGCTGCCCGCAGCCTATAAGCCACAAAGACTCTAAGTCACCACCCGGGGTGTGGTAAGGCTTCCACTGCCAGGGAGAACTCCTGCCCCGAGGAGCAGCCTTGTGGAGGACCGTCCTGAGACAGGGCACAGCCGCTCAGGTGCCAGGAGACCGTAAGTGATTCTCTTCTGGCTGCCAGGATGATCTGTTTGGTACAGAGCACTTGGGGCATGGGAGTAGTACAACAGGGGAAGCTGCTGCACTGGCACCCTGGGCATCTGCTCACGGTGACTCCCAGGAGAGAAAATGGCATTGAGGACCTGGGATGTCCCTTTACCCCACGGATGACTTGCAAGGGCAGTGAATAGCAAATCAAGGCCATGGGCACACTTGGGAGGGATTAAGGGTGTGTGGCCAGGAAGGCAGGGAGGGGAGAAGAGGGGACACGTGTCTGCTCGGGCCGTGGCGACATACCTGGCTGCAGACGGTCTTGATTCTGTGCAGTCTGTCCAGCGACTCTTGTGGATTCCCCAGGTACTGCTGAAGGTCTGCGTGCAAGATGCGCATTGAGAAGGGGACCATGGAGCCTGGAATGAGAGCCGCAGCCTGGTCAGTGTCTCTGGCCAGGCACAGGGACCCTTGTATTTCCTGGAGAAGCACTCAATGGTGTCAGCTGTACAGCACACCCTGGCTTTCTAATGAGTGCTGTGTCAGCCTGGCCAGAGATATTTCAGTGATGGGTGGCCCCTACTGCTGCCTGCAAAGCTGTCCCACAGCAGGGAGAAGCTATCCCAGGGCCGGCAGGGCAGCAGGCTGCCCCATTCACTGAAGCGGCAGCTCAGTCCCAGGCGTCCTGCAGCATCCAGTACAGCATGCTGCAGCGCACATGGGGCTCCCAGGACAGGCTCGGACACGACCAGCTCCTGGGCTGGCACGGTGGCGCAGCACACTGAGCCTCCACCTGAGGTGCCAGCATCCCATACGGGTGCTGGGTCAAGTCCTGGCTGCTCCACTTCTGATCTAGCTCCCTGCTTATGGCCTGGGAAGGCAGTGGAGGATGGCCCAAGTGCTTGGGCCGCTGCATCCATGTGAGATATTTAGAAATTCCCGGATCCTGGTTTTGGGATCATCCCAGCTTTGGCCATTGCAACCATTCTGAAAGTGAACCAGCAGATCAAAGATCTCAGTCTCTTTCTGTCTCTGTAATTCTGCCTTTCAAATAAATCTTAAATGGAAGAAGGAAGAAAGGAAGACAGAGAGAACAGATGGACGGATGAACTGGCTCCAGAAGAAATCCCGGGGAAGCAGCGAGGGAAATCAGTTTCCACCAGGTCAGTGGGTGGTGCTTCCCACTGATCCGCGTGGGCTCCAGAGCTGTGGTCCCGTGCTGGAGCCCTCCCAACCTGACGCCAGGCACTGACTCATTCACTCACTCGCTCAAGAAGCACACACATATACATATATATACACACATACATGTAAACACACACATCAATGCATTTATTTATCTATTTTTATTTGAAAGGCAGCAGAACTACAGAGAAAGGACAGAGAGCTCACCCATCCACTGCTCTTCTTCCCACACAGCCACACAGCCAGCAATGAACCAGGATGAAGGCAGGAGCCAGGAGGTTCTTCAGGGTCTTCCACGAGGATGGGAGGGATCCAAACACTTGGCCTATCTTCTCCTGCCTTTCATGGCCATTAGCAAGGAGCTGGATTGGGAGTGAAACAGCTGGGACACAAACTTGTGCCCACAGGGAAGCTGGTGCTGCGGGCGGTGGCCTTTCCTGCTGTGCCACAATGCTGGCCCCTCCTTACTCTTGACCATTCTCTTCAGACCTTTCTTATTAAACACTGTAGAGCTTCACAAGGGTTTGAAGGTAGGGGAAGCACAGGCTCACAGCCCACTCTCAGGAAGAATGTATAAGCTGGTTGGCGGATGGAGGTTTGGGGGGATGGAGGTCTGGGGGTGATGGAGGCCCAGGGGGAATGGAGGTCCGGGGGGATGGAGGTCCAGGGGGATGGAGGTCCAGGAGGGATGGAGGTCCGGGGGGATGGAGGTCCAGGAGGGATGGAAGTCCGGGGGGATGGAGGTCCGGGGGCATGGAGGTCCGGGGGGATGGAGGTCCGGGGGGATGGAGGTCCAGGAGGGATGGAGGTCCGGGGGGATAGAGGTATGGGGGGATGGAGGTTCAGGAGGATGGAGGTTGGAGGTCCAAGGGGGATGGAGGTCCAGGGGAGATGGAGGTTCGGGGGGGGGGGGATGGAGGTTCAGGGGGATGGAGGTCTAGGGGGATTGAGGTCCTGGGAGAATGGAGGTCCAGGGGGATGGAGGTCCAGGGGGATGGAAGTCCAGGGGGATGGAGGTCTGGGGGGATGGAGATCCAGAGGGATGGAGGTTTGGGGGGATGGAGGTCTGGGGGGATGGAGGTCCAGGGGGATTGAGGTCCTGGGAGAATGGAGGTCCAGGGGGATGGAGGTCCAGGGGGATGGAGGTCCAGGGGGATTGAGGTCCTGGGAGAATGGAGGTCCAGGGGGATGGAGGTCCAGGGGGATGGAAGTCCAGGGGGATGGAGGTCTGGGGGGATGGAGGTCCAGAGGGATGGAGGTTTGGGGGGATGGAGGTCCAGGGGGATGGAAGTCCAGGGGGATGGAGGTTTGGGGGGATGGAGGTCCAGGGGGATGGAGGTCCAGGGGGATGGAGGTCTGGGGGGATGGAGGTCCGGGGGGATGGAGGTCCAGGGGGGATGGAGGTCCGGAGGGATGGAGATCTGGGTGATGGAGGTCCAGGGGCTCCCAGGACCCGCAGCAGCCACACAGCTTCTCTCATGCTGCCTTCCTAACTATCCCACGTCTGAAAGCCACAGCTCGGTCTCTTTGGAAGAAAGAGTCCCGAGTCTCTGTGACTGCCCTTGCTGGCGCTTCCGAATTCTTCACCTCATTTGTAGTGAGTGCAGGTTGCTTGCTGGCATGGCGTGTGTGCACTTATTGGTCAAATGCCAAGTTTCATTAGAAGGCAGCAGACCGCAACAATGGGCTCCTTGTTCTGAGGAGTGAGGCAGCCCCATCTGCATCTCCCACAGGGTTCGTTCCTCCTTCCACTCAGCAGGCTCTGATGCAGAACACCCCAAACTGGCTTGTACCAGCAAGGCAATCATGTGAGTCACTCACTTCCAACAGATGGACAACTCTCAGCCTGCAGGGTGTACAACTGACCTTGGGGAGAAGAGGGTTAAGGATGCTGTGAGTTCTGTAGGATAAGCACAGCAATGTGGACTCCATGGAAGGTCCCATGACAAAGCAGAAAAGCTAAAGGGGCAGCCCTCTCTCCCTAGCCTAATTCAACTGTGGATCTGGACAAGGCTCTGCATTGAGCAAGACCTGGGAAAATATCCTGATACATCAGCAGATGACGGCTCTAAAACTTGTTTGAAGGCCCAGTACGGCTGGGCCTCGTGGCTGAAGTCCTCACCTTGTATGCACTGGGATCCTGTACGAGTGGTTCTAATCCTGGCCACCCCACTTCCAATCCAGCTCCCTGCTTGAGGCCTGGGAAAGCAGTAGCGGATGGCCCAAAGCCTTGGGACCCTGCACCAGCATGGAAGACCCAGAAGAGGCTCCTGGCTCCAGATCAGTTCAACTCTGGCATTTCAGCCACTTAGGGAGGAGACCAGTGGACAGAAGATCTTCCTCTCTGTCCCTGTCTCTGTAAGTCAGACTTTCCAATAAAAAATGAATAAAATCTTTAAAAAAACAGGAATAACAAAACTCAACTGAGTCCTTGGAATCCCGGTTTCAGGCTTTGGGCCGGCACAGTCACAGATGATGGGGCCATTTTGGAAGTGAACCAGTGGATGGGAGATCTCTATCTTGATTTCTCCTCCTGTCTTTGTTATTCTTTCAATACATAAATAAATAAATAAATAAATAAATAAATAAATAAATAATCCAATTTAAAGTAAAATGGTCTTATATAGAATCTCTGCTTCTGTGTTCTGTTCTCTGTCTATCAAGAAAATGAGCATAGGGCCCAGCAGTGTGGCCTAGCAGCTGAAGTCCTCGCCTTGAACGCACCAGGATCCCATATGGGTGCCGGTTCTATTCCCGGCAGCTCCACTTCCCACCCGGCTCCCTGCTTGTGGCCTGGGAAAGCAGCTGAGGATGACCCAAAGCCTTGGGACCCTGCAACCACATGGGAGACTTGGAGGAAGTTCCTGGCTCCTGGCTTCGGATTGGCTCAGCTCCAGCCACTGTGGCCACTTGGGGAGTGAACTGGCAGATGGAACATTTTCCTGTTCTCCTCTGTAAATCTGATGTTTTAAAAAAAGAAAGAAAACAGAAAAGAAAAGGGATATGATACAGATTAGGACTTTGCAACAGATGACATGATTCCTTAGTAGAAAATCCTAAGGGACTGATAAAAACGAAAACAACAACAAAAAACCACTCACCCATCCAACCAAAAAGCTCAAAACCAAAAAACAAAAATCAACTCCTAACCAAGTAAGTGACTAAAGGCTGCAGCATGCAGTATGTAAAGTCAGTATGCCAAAGCCAATTGGCTTCCTACATAGCTGCAAGCAACAACCAGGGGTTGGCACTGAAAATATAGTATCATCTATGTTAGTACCAAAACAAGTGAAACACATGGGGATAAATCCAACAAGACATGCCTAAGAGCTACATAAACCACGCTGCAAGATTCAGACGAAAGAAATCAAAGATACAGATAAATGGCAAGATGTACCATGTTCATGGATCGGATGCACCAATACAGTTAAAAAGTTAGTCCTCGGCAGTTCTTTACAACTTGCTCTACACACAGAATGAAATGTCGACCAGAATCTTAGCAAGTTATTCTCTAGATATCGGTAGGTCGATTCTAAAGTTTACACAAAGAGCTAAACGGCTGAAAATACACAACAAAATACTGAAGAGAAAAAGTTAAGAATTGACAGTGTTGGACTTCAAGACATACTGTAAGTCTACTGTAATAGAGGCCACGGGCTCGGGATCAAATGATAATTGAATTGATGGAGGAGGACAGAGAGCCCAGAAACAGCCTCTCATTAATACAGCTGACGATCTTCGACAAACAGCAAAGGTAATTCAATAGAGAAAGGATACTTTCCCCAACAACCAGTTCTGACACAACTGAACAATTACATCCACAGCTAGATCTTACATCTGAAAATTAATCCACAGCTAGATCTTACATCTTGTATGAAATTAACTCAAAATGGCTATCAGAATGGCTATCAGACCTAAATACAAAATGCAAAAACTATGTCCTATGTCATAAAGCAGAACACAAAGTCTAGGTGACTTTTTTTGTTGTTGCATTTACTTTTTTAAAAAAGCTTATTTTTGATGATGTTTACATATTTGAGAAGCATCAAGGAAAAGAAGAATGTGGATGAGAACACTGTTTCTGATTTTCCTTCTCTTCTTCTTGTTTCTGGGGGAAGAGGAGAGAGAAGGGCAGAAACACACACAGCACCTGAAGTGTACCAGTACTGGGGGACGGGGACCACCACCCAACAACATCCCAGCACCTGAAGTGTACCAGTACTGGGGGACGGGG